ACTTTGTCAAACTCTTTTTAAAACTCTTTTTTTTATTTATTAAATGTTTCACACTTTTTAAACGTTTTTACACTTTTTTCTAAACTTTTTTTACTGTTAACTCCTAACTAGCAGTAAGCAGCACTAACCGTAAATTCCCCCCTTTCCCTTAACTCCCACCCACTCCAGCTAGCAAAATATATAACTATAAAATATTTAAATTAAATAAATTGAACCCCTGAGGGTTAAAAAATAAGTTAATCCTCAGGGAAAAGGAAAGAAATTAGATTACAGTATAATACTGTGATCTGTATTTTGATCACTGTAGGCAGTGATCAGCTGGCAGGGAAGGGGTTAATTTTTATTTAGACTGGGTAAAGGTGGTGTCTTTTTATTTTATTTTTTTTACGTTACTAAAACATTTTGTTAACTTTTTTTTAACCTTTTTAAAGCTTAATTAATACTTTAACGTTAATCCCTAACCTTTTTTTTCCCAACTAGCTAAATATATAATTTTTAAATATTTTAATTAAATAAATTTAACCCCTGAGAGTTAAAAATAATTGCCCCTCAGGGGTTTAATTAATACTTACCAAGTGATCACTGTATTCAGTGATCAATTGGCAGGGGAGTTGGGGGTTGGGATTTAACTTTATTTTATTTTCAGGGGGCATGATCAGCTCTGATCCATCTCCCTGCACTTCACACAGAACTCGGAAGTGCAGGGAGGCGGAAGGTAAGTACACTGAGCACATGTGCTCGCTCTGACAACCTGTCAGAGCAAGCACCGGTGCTGGGACAGCCCGATCGGGTGCTCCTGGTCTGCCTCTAATACAGAGGCAGACCGGAGCACAGTTAACCCCGCAATCTGGGATTAACTTTAGTAAATGACAGAAATTTTCCGCCAACGGTCCTTAACTGAAGGACAAGGTTGACGGAAAAGTTCTGTCTGCGGTCGGGAAGGGGTTAATCTTTGTGACAAATAGAATTTGCATAATATTTTGGAAGTGTGTGTGTGTGTATTTTAATTTTTTTTAAAATTATTTTTAACGGGCGTTACATGACGTTGGATGTTCTGTATTGTCCAATACAATAAAGTATTATTGCCAGGATAACTCTCCAGTCTAGGGGTATAGAAATACTGTGTCTAAATGTATAGATAGAATCTAATGCTCCTTTTTAAGGAGCTAAAGTTGTTGTGGCCGCAAAAGTTTCCTTTTATAATGCTACATCATATATGAAAGAACCTCAATTGAACTTAAGTTTACTAAACACTACTGACTGCATTAATGTTTTTCAGCTGCTATGATGCAAACCAATTCCTTTTTGATATGAGTCAATTGTCTGAGATTTACCTGTCAAGTCTTGTTCATTGAATAAGACTCCACAGGTAAATCCCGGGCGATCGATCAGTTCGGGTGTAGATAAATGGAATTTTAAGCATTTATAGCAGTTGAAGAGTTAATACTCAATGCTAGCCATCAAGTGAGCTGAATGACAATTGTTAATCACAATAGAAGGTGAAAAGGGACCTGCCCATACAAGGTTTATTCTCTAGAGCAGCTGATGGATAAGAAAACAATCAGAAGATTGTGTATATAGTTAAATGAATGAAAGCTGTTATTGGAAAGTCGATTTGTTAGAAATCGACTGTAGGACAATGAATGGTAAACTGGTTAAAATGACTTTTGCTTGAAGATAAGAGTTGAGGGCTTTTGTAAAGGACTGAAGATGTAAAGTGGCTCCACCTCTTTCACTGATAACATAAGGATTGATCTCTGCCAATCCAATGCTTTCCTATTTGAGCCAAACGTCACACTGACCAATCCGCACCTCCTTATAAAGATGCGTTTATTCAATACATCTCTGTGGGAAGTTCAGCGCCTCAATGCAGAGCATGAAGATGCTGAATGTCAGTACTGCACATTGGGTAGAACTGGCCCAGGAAGCACATCTGTGACTGCCATTGGAGGTGTTCCTATGGAGCAATGTAAACACTTTTTTTTTTTTTTTTTAATTTAATATGAAAAAGACTGTTTACATGAAAATGCCAGCAGTGACCTACTATATTCACCAGAACTACATTAAGCTGTAATTGTTCTGGTGACTATAGTGTCCCATTATTATTGCCATTTATATAGCACCAACAGATAATGACAATTACCAGAAAACCTACAGGAACGATAGGTTGAAGAGGACCCTGTTCAAACGAGCTTAGTCTATAAAACAAAGAATAGAAACACTTCCTTTAATACTTTAATCCTCATAACCAATACAGCCCACTCTAGTGGGGAAAAAAATTAAGGCAGTGCAACTAGATCATAATTGTGCACACAAGGACATTTCTGCATTGATAAAGAGGAGATTCGAAGTGTGTGTGTGTTTGCACATTTAGCATATCATTCTGCTTCCTTGGTTTGTGTTTTTATGCATTTGGATTTAACCCTGCTCTGAGCAACAGGGTAGAAGGTCACTAGCAGAGTTATTCAGGTATTTTTAACCCTATTTTAGGGTACTGTGGTAACCCCTTCTCTATCTATATGTGGCCACATTTGCTGTAGTGGTTATGATGCGAAGAGTACCCTGGTCGAGTTTCCCGGTGAATGGTTTGACCACTATCTAGGTTCACCCTGGGCCCCAATGCTCCCGGTATGGGCACTGTGTGTTTGCACATTTAGCATATCATTATGCTTCCTTGGTTTGTGTTTTTATGCATTTGGATTTAACCCTGCTCTGAGCAACAGGGTAGAAGGTCACTAGCAGAGTTATTCAGGTATTTTTAACCCTATTTTAGGGTACTGTGGTAACCCCTTCTCTATCTATATGTGGCCACATTTGCTGTAGTGGTTATGATGCGAAGAGTACCCTGGTCGAGTTTCCCGGTGAATGGTTTGCCCACTATCTAGGTTCACCCTGGGCCCCAATGCTCCCGGTATGGGCACTGTTCCAGGGCAGATGCCCCCCCTCCCCCCCTAGGGTTTGCAAGACTTGCGGGCAACAGTGCTCGTGAATTGGGTCGCAAGACAGTTTCTCCGTTGCCTTCACTTATGAGGTTATGAGGTGAGCATCAAAAATGCATGACAATCTTTTATTAAAAAAAAAAAAAAAAAATTAATCTGCAATAGGTGGTCAACGTTGCCCACAGACTACACATTTGGAACTTATGTAGTGTAGGAGGCCTGTTGGTCAAAGCTTTCCAAGCGTTGAAAACAATAGGCATCCTTATGCAGGCATAACGTAGTAGGTTAAACTGCAAGCTACAGGTAACACAACGAGCATGAACATGAAAGTCATACATTAACCAAACTTTATAAATGTTGTGATCTGTGGTTCTGTGAGTTGGCGTGTTGGCCTCCACAGCTCGGACGAGGATCTTCGTGTGCGCTTTGGTCTTTAGCCCTGAGTGTGTGTTCGGTTCCCCTGTCCATTCTCCCTATTCTCCTGGTATTGTTCCCATAGGTCCCATGTCCTGCCAAATTTTGGTGGTGTGCCTGACCAGAGAGGTTAACCTGTCCATTTGGTAGTTATCTTTTATCTTAGCTATCACTAGTGCCATGGGGGGCGTTTCCGGGCAGAGCCAATTCTGCGCTAGCGCCCTTCGGGCCGCCAGGTAAATCATGTTTAACATTTGTTGCTCTGGGTGTGGGAGGCCATCTGTTGGCCTGGAGAGGAGGCAGGCCCAGGGGTCCAACCGCAGGGGTCTCTGCAATATGTTCAAGCTTAGGTTGGTGATTCGAACCCAATAAGCCTGTACTGGGGGGCATTTCCACCACATGTGCACATATGTGCCTTGTTCTCTGCACCCGTGCCAACAGAGATCAGTGGGAGTGATCTGCATGCGGAATTGTTGTAGTGGAGTGATGTACCATCTGAAAAGCGTTTTGAATGATTGCTCTTGGAGGGTGACACATATGGATGATCGTGCTGTGGCCTCCCATATGTCCTGCCAGTCGGAGCCCTCCAGTGTCTCTCCCAGGTCTGCCTCCCATTGGTGCGTGTATCGGAGCTCCCCCAACTCTTTGGCTTCCCCGCTAAGGTGTGAGTATAGTGATGAGAAGTCCCTTGGGGTGTTTTTTCCTGATAGCAAATGTTCTCAAACCAGGTGAGGGGGAGGGTGGCCGTCTCCTTGACACCTTTTGGTGCTAGCAAAATCTCGTATCTGTATGTAGCGGAAAAAGTCCCTGTTTGTTAGAGGGGATTCTTCCCTGAGCTGATCGTATGTGACTACTTGACCGTTTTTGTATAGGTGGCAGTATCTCTGGATACCTGCCTTCTCTAGGCCCCTAAAGTCGCCTGTCGTCATTCCTGGTGGGAAGGATCTGTTCCTAAGCATGGGGGTCATTGGGGAGGGGAACCTACTTAAAGAGTATTTAGTTGCTATTTGATCCCAGATTCTTAAGGAGTTTGTTATTGCCGGGCAGGTTATCCTGGGGAGTGCTCTGTGTGTCTTGTGTAGCCATGGATAGAACTGGGGTAGGTCTTGCCCCATTAGTGAGGTTTCAAGCTCCACCCATCGTCGGGTGTCAGGCACGGAGTGCCAATATGCTGTCTGTGCTGCTAGGTAGTATAGGTACAGGTTTGGCAGTCGATATAGGAGTTTTCTAGATATTCTGGGTCGTTTCTTTTGCCAAATGAACATGTCAATCGCTTTTTGGAGTGTGAATAGGTTGCTTCTCTTAACCGGTGTGGGCAGGGCCTGGAACAGGAACAGTAATCTGGGGAGGATGTTCATTTTGACTGAGTGGAGTCTGCCTACCCATGAGATGGGTTTGTCTGTCCACTGCTCCAGGTCCCTTAGGAGTGTGCGAATCAGTGGGGAATAGTTAGTCTCGTGTAGGTGTTCGTATTGCGCCGTGAGTCTAACCCCTAGGTAGGGTATGTTGTCAGTAGTGATGGGTAGGCGATATCTTTCAGATATTTGTGCTCTATCCTGGGCTGGGAGGTGAAATGGCAGTGCCATGGATTTGTTGAGGTTTACTTTAAAGCCTGATAGGGCTCCATACGTGGCCAACAGGTCCGTCATGTGGCCCATGGAGGTCAGGGAGTCGGTGAGAGTCAGCAGTACGTTGTCTGCGTACGCTGATACTTTGAAGGTTTTCTCTGCTACCCGTATTCCTTGTATGTGTGGGTGTTGGCGTATAGCCTGCAGTAGTGGTTCTAAGGAGATGGTGAATAGCAGTGGCGACAATGGGCAGCCCTGGCTTGTTCCTTTCTGGGAGTGGAAGGGGGTCTTTGTGGCCCTTGCAATCGGGGTTTGGGCTCTCAGGTTTGTATATAGAGTGCGTATGGCCTGAATATAAGCGGCTGGGAATCCCCACTCTTCCAGGAGGCTAAACATGTATGGCCATTGCACCCTGTCAAAGGCCCTCTCCGCATCCAAGGAGATGGCCAGTGAGGGATTTTCGGATTTCTGCATGTACCATGTTGATACCGCCCCCTCTACGTGTATTTTCATATAGTTGTCTACCGGGGATAAACCCCACCTGGTCCGGGTGGATTAGGTGTGTGCGCATTGGTGCCAACCTAGCCGCCAGGATTTTTGCATATATTTTAAGGTCCGAATTGATCAGGGAGATGGGCCTATAGTTTGATGCGAGTTCATTGTCTTTCCCTGGTTTTGGGATGAGCGTGATGTTGGCTAATGCCATGTCGGCGACGGGTGCGCCGCCCGTCATAAAGTGGTTATATAAAGAGGTGAGGTGGGGGGGCCAGTTCTTCTCGAAATTTCTTGTAGTACCCTATCTCATAGCAGTCGGGGCCTGCGGCTTTATTCCTTTTTAGGACTGCTATGGCCGTTTCTACTTCTAATTGGGAGATTGGTTCCTGTAAGTTTGTGGCATCCCTATCTGTTATCTCTGGAAGATTTATGCTGGCAAGGAAGGCGCGCAATGAGGACCGTGTTTGTTCTTATGTGCTTTGTGGGTGTTGGGCCTGACCCGTAAAGGTTCGAGTAGAACTCCGTGAATACCCTGTTTGTCTTGGAGTTGTTGCTAGTTCCTGAGTGAGCGTGCGTATTTTTGTGATGGGTTTGTAGTCCCCTCGGGGGTGTAGTGCTCTGGCTAATAGGGAGTCCATTTTGTTGGACTTTTCATAGAATAATCGCCTAGATCTCTGGATCGAGTGTGCGACCCCTTCTAGCAGAATCGCTCTAATTGAGTGTCTTAGTGCGGTGAGTTCTGCTAGTTTTTTGGTTGTGGGATTATGTTTGTGCTGCTGTTCTGCTTTTCGTAGGGCAGCCTGAAATTCTATCTGTGCTCGGGTGTTGCATTTCTTTTTGTGTGTTGCCACTTTTATGAAGTGTCCTCTCATGACTGCTTTGTGGGCCGACCAAGTCGCCACTGGGTCTACCTCTGGTGTGGTGTTTTGTTTAAAGTATTCTGCGTTAAGAGTGCGCGTGTTCTCGCATAGTGTGTCGCTGTTTAGTAAGCTTGTTAAGTCGCCAGGTCCAAGAGGTGGAGTATTTGAGTTTGTCTAATGTGAACGATATATCCGCATTGTCTGACCAGGGGATACTGCCTATGTCGGAATGCACTAGTTTGGACATCTCTACACCGTTAAGGAATATGTGGTCTATTCTCGAGTATGTGCCATGGGGCGCTGAGTAGAACGTGTAGTCACGTGAATCTGGGTGCTGGAGCCTCCAAGAGGTCAAGAGCTGTGTGTTGGTGAGGAAGGTATGCAATAGTTTGTCCTGTGCACCCCTCCCGTGGGACCTGGGTGAGCCTGTTCTCGTGCTCCTGTCTATGGCTGGACTTGGTGCAGCGTTGAAGTCTTCCCCCCCCACCAGTGTTATATTTCTGGGGCAAGCATCTTCTCTCTTCCCTTGGCTGTCGGGTAAGAGTCAACGCTGGGTCCATTGCGTACCAGTCCATAATGCGTACCTATGTGAGTTTCAGCGCCCTTATGAATGGTGCCACATCTCTGTTCTGCTATGATGTGGGTGGTCCCTTTGAGTGTGACGATAAGGGCTAGGGGGAAGCCCCATTTGTATCTGATGTTTCTAGCACGTAGTTGGTCTGTGATCGGTTTTAGGTGTCTCCTTGCTTGAAGGGTGAGCCAGGAGAGATCTTGGTAAATCTGGATTTCATATCCATAGAACAGCAATGGCGGATTAGTGTCTCTTTTAGCTTTTTGAGTATTCGGTCTTTGTCTGTAAAATAGTGTAGACGACATGTCTCTTGGGGCGTCTCCATTGTTGCCTTTGGGTCTGAGTGAGCGATGCCTTCTGTCGAAGTGGATCAGCGTTGTGATTGGCTGCTCTAGTAATAAGTTGAATAGCTCCTGCAATTTTGCTTGTATATGTTTCGGGGAGGCCCTTGATCCTGAGATTATTTCTGTGCCTCCTGTTATCTATGTCGTCCAGCGATCTTTGAAGCTGAGACATTTGTTTTGTGGGTGTCTAAACGGTTGGACAGGATTTTAAGTTGGATCTGTACCTGCTCCCTGTCTTCCTCCAAGTCATGTACACGTAGGCCTACCTGCCGGATTTCAGCACTCAGTCCCTCCATCTTGTGCTGGAATGAGGTTTCAAGTTTCTCCAGCACTACTGTGAGGTCTGCCTTGGAGGGCAAATTTTGGAGCAGGACTTTAATATCTTGCTCTGTTGTGGCTGCTGAGGTCTCTGCTGCTGCAGGGCTGGGCGGATTGCAGAGGTGTTCGCCTGCCATCGGCGCCATGTTTACACTGCCGTGTTCCGTCGTGCGGCCGGCATGCTCTTTGAAGAATTTAGAGACCGAGCCCGGTCTCTCGGTGGGTGCTTTCCCGCTACCTGTGTGGGCGCCCTGGGTCCTTTTTGGGGTTCCCCATGCTGGTCGGTGCTCGTGCTCCTGTTTTTAGTGCCTGTGGTGCCGGAGCCGAGTTAACATGCGGCCATCTTCTCCGACGGTCGGCAATGCCCCCCCGTTGTCTTCACTTCTGAGTGAGTTTATGACCCCCGGCTCTGCTTGTTCTCAGGGTGGCGGCAGGGCATCCATCTCTGTTGGGTCTTAGGTTCGGGGAGGCTCAGTCCGGGAGCCACAGGTCCAAGCACTTCGTCTTCTTGCCGAGGCCCCGGACGGTCGCATAGCTTGCATGCGTGGTAGTCTTTGCCTTTGGGGTTTTTGAATCGGCATCCGGGAACTCTGGACAGGTGTGTAAAAGGCCAAGGGGTCAGGGCACTGCATTTGGACCGGGGGAGCTGTAGTTCACGGGTTAGCTCGATTAGGTCGTCTGCCTCTCTAACCATGAAGGGGCCGGTTCGTGTGAAAACTTGCATTCCAGATGGGAAATTACAGCGATACCGTAGCTTTATCTTGTTAGATCCTCGTTAGCGGGCGCATCGCTTGTGGTAGGCCAACGTGGCCGGGGACAGGTCCGGGAATAGCTGGACCTCCGCTCCATTTATGTGTATGCGTCCAGTCTCTCGTGCTCTCCGCAGGATATCCTCCTTGAGCTGGAAGCTAGCGAGGCAGCAGATGTCCCTTGGATCATCTGGGGCCCCTTTTGGGCGCAATGCGCGATGTGCTCTTACAAAGTCAATCGGGGTTGGCTCTGGCCTACCCAGTATTTTGTTGAAGATGTCATTAAGGATCTCTTTAATGGGCTCAGGGTTGGTGGTACATTCAGGGATGCCCCTTACTCTTATGTTTTGCCTTCTGCCCCTATTATCCATGTCCTCTATGTGGAATGCCATCTGTCTAAGATGGTCAGTTTGCGCTTATATGGCGTCTGCATTCGTGGTCTGTAACGATTGTACGTTGTCATTGTCTGCCTCCAACTGGGAGACCCTATGGTGAAGGCCATGCAGGTCTTGCCACATGGCATGCAGTTCTGCCGTTATAGATTCCTGCAAGGCTATGTTGGCCTGTTTGAGGTCTGCTTTCGTTGGTAGGTTGTTGAGCATTGTCACCCACCCAGGTGGGGCATCCCCCAGGCCGGTTGTGTCGGACCCGACCCTCTGGGAAGGCGAGAGAGTGCAGTCAGTGGCCTCTGAGTCATTGGAGGCCTGGGAGGCGAGGTCGGCCGGCATGACCAAATATTGTCGTAGTGAGGTAGCCGGGTCCCTCTTGGTGTGTCCGTGGACTTGGTGGCTAGCGATGCTCTGTGAGTTTTCCCCATTTTCAGGCCTGACCCGTGGCGCTGCAAGGAAATGTGCTGAGCTGGTGGGGAGCTCTCGCACTATGCTGCCATCTTGCTTGGCGTCCTAGCCACGCCCCATGTTTTACTTTTTTTAAAAGCATAAACGCAGAATACGAATAGAAGGGAAACTAATGCTAGCATTGCAAGAGCACAGTTAAATGGTTCAGAACAAATTTGTTAGTGCAACTATACGTCTAAAATCAGAAATGAATGAACTTGGGCCTCAATGTAATATTATTGGATAAGCTTTCCTAATCATTAAAAAGAAAAAAGGGAAGTTTAGTTCAAAATTGCTAAATATTATGAAAAATATTTTAATTTTGTAATATTTAGTTTTATATATGATCTATAATTTTATAATTTTAATGTTGGAAAAAATCACTTTAAAAGTGTGTCCAAAAATATTGCATTAAGGCCAGATGTTTATGGACTAAAATATTTTCTAAATTCTCTGACAATTATTCTATGGTGGTTGGACATGTTTCCTGGGGTCCAATGTGTGCTGCTCCCTACCTTCATGACTTGCAAAAAAAAAACAGAAGCGCTCAGCCCCTGAGCCAAGACTATCACCACTAAACTTGGCTCAATCAGCTGACTCGCTCTGACAATGCTAGAGCTTGATCACTACATGGCTTAGCTCAAAACTAAAAAATTCTTTTTGAGAAATGTGTGGCTTTCGGGAGATAGGAGCAGCATCTGGTGGACCCCAGTTAAGGAGTTAAACCATTCTAAAACCGTTTGACTCCTGGCAACATAACCACTGCAGTGCATGTGCTTGGAGTGTTCATCTAAGAGTTATATGCAATCAATATCTGAGGGATATTTAACATTCTGTTTGAAGGTTAGTGTGCTCATCTGAGTGTTTAACTCAAAGCTTATTTATTTTAATTCCCCTTCATTATACTCTAGCATCCACTGGTCCAAGCAATATTCAGTCGGAAAATAGATGAAGTGAAGTTATTACTGAACCAGAAAGAAAATGTAAATGTTTTGGTGAGTATCAGCTTTACTATTCTCATTCTAGATGTCTGGAACTATATTAATGGGTCTTGAATGTTCATTGCAGAATTTCCTGACTCCTTAAGAATTGCGAAAGTGTGTGTATGTATGTATCCCTTGCTTAAGAACAAACATTCCTTTATAGATACAATGGTAGATGCAAGCTAAATGCTGGGGGGGAGGGAGGTGAAATTTTGTATGAAAAATATAATCTGGCAGTGGCTCCAGTCTAGGAGGGGGGGCGGGGAGGAGTTTGCAGAAGAATGTGGCCTTAATTGTGAATCAACTGTAATATATACCCAATGAGTACAGCATGCTGGGAGAATGTAATGTAATAGCATGTCCCTCGGTGCTGTCATCAGAATGCTGCACAGGAATGCATGTGGAAGCAGGTGAAATGGTCTGTTGCATCATGAAGAGACAGTCAGCTTCTCTACTGATATCAAGCACTACATGCCTCAAATCTCTTCACCACTGACAGAGTAGTACAGGGAGAATTATTTAAAGAAACTTGTGTGTCTGGGGAGATGATTTTATCTATTCTAACAGACAAATTTTGGGCACCATATACTTTAACTCCAAACTCTTCAAGTCCTCCCCTTCACTTCTGTTCCAATCTGAAGCTTTAATCAGGAAGGTTGAGTACATCAGCAAACTGTCAGTCTGTCACCCTTTCTATTCACAAACGTGAGTGAAAAGATATCTACCTCGGATTGTAACAGAAGTGAAGGTACATAGTTGATGGGTGCCAAATTGAAGTCTGGGTTTAAATCCTTTTGTTTGTTTTAACCCTGTTGAAGTAAGTTGGCGTCCGCGCCTCCTTCCACCGTTTCATTTTTATGAATTGTTTTGGTGTCTGGATTGTCCCTTTACACTGCAGCACAGCAGTTGCAAGAAGTATACAAATGTGTAAAAAAATAAATCCTACTTGTACAAATATTGATTTTATTATTCTCATTTTCCCCATTACAGGACCAAGAAAGACGTACTCCCCTGCATGCTGCTGCCTTCTTAGGAGACCTTCAAACTATTGAGCTATTAATACAGTCAGGTATGATCTGCGTGAACTATTTTTTTCTTAATCTGTTTTACATTTATACTTTGTTTCAATACAATGAGTTTTAGATTAAAAAGTTCAGTCTTCAGGCCTCTTGTACACACGACTAAGTACCAACACGACAAAGCTGTTAAATTAACCAGATTAGACTTTACATAATCCTGAATCTTTAGCATTAAGTATCACATTTGCGTGTTTTTTTTTTTTTTTGGTTTTTTTAACCGTTCTAAGTAGAGTTAATAGATTTGAATAAAGTAACGTAATTTAAATGTTTTTTTAACTTTGATTTTATCTGTATTATGATCTGTGCAAAAAAATTTTATTTTTTTTTTCTTCTACATACAGTAAGGGAGTAAATGAAGTTTGTCATTTTCCTATTTAACTTATGTGGTCTCTGTTTATAAAACAGTTGTAACATGCTACGTACATTTAGCAATAAGTGCCTTTTTTGTGCATTTGTTATGCAGAAATGCGATGTACATTCTAGAGCACGCTAGTTAATCTACACTTTATGCTGAGCAGATGTATAGATGGCCTTTGTTTATATATTGAGGTTTGTAGCTTATATCTCTCAACTGCAGCTATTCCGGTCAGCTAGGTTCTAAAATGCTATATGGACAAAGCATTTGGAGTGTGTACAATTTACTGTATCTAACTAAGTATGTCATGCAGAAAACATCAGATTCAATGTATATGCATCAATAGGCTTATGTTCACTAGCATAGAGCATAGTTTAAAAGTAGAGTACTTGCACCCACACCTTTTTTTAAAGGTGCACTTTGAATATTTGCCTATGATAATAGATATGTCGGTGTGTTTTTAGGTGCTAATGTAAATGCAAAGGATTCGGCTTGGCTCACACCTGTGCACAGGGCTGTTGCTTCACGCCATGAGGTAAATTGCAAACTTTTGTAAAAGTAACATATTGTTAAATTACATGTGTTGTGCTGCAGCAAAAAAGTCATCAAGAATGCCTGTACTTTATCAGCCTACACATAAAAAAAGTAAGCTGATTCATTTAAGAAATCCATAGTATATTTGTAATTTATAATACTGTTTTTGTTTCTGTTGGGTAGGGTTATTGTTAAATACAAACATAGGCGCAGATATTAAAATAAATATAATCCAACTTGGACTGACTGCAAATAAAAACTTGTAAACTAAATTTTTTATTTTATTTTTAAAGTGTAGCCAACCTTTGTTCCTCTTTAACTCTACTTTACAAATAGAGAGCAGTCTCTCTCCTCGTGAAACACTCTGCAGACGTCAACGCACGGGACAAATACTGGCAAACTCCACTACATGTTGCTGCTGCTAATCGAGCTAATAAATGCGCAGAGACGTTGATAACGCTAGTGAAGAATGTCAACATTGCGGATCGCACAGGACGCACTGCCCTTCATCATGCTGTGCTCAGTGGAAACCTGGAGGTATATACGTGATTGACTCATAACCCTGTCTGAAATTCTCTTTGCACTTCAGTGAAAAGCATCTCTGAAAAGAAAAAAGTGTTTAATACATAAGTGAATCATCACAGAGGAGGTTATTCCACTTTCTCCTCTACATTTTATCGATGTGGCTTTTTTTTTCTCCAGCAATGTCTTCTCTTTTCACAGATGGTGCTCATGCTTTTAAACAAAAGAGCTCACCATGGTATATGTGATAAGAAAGAGAGGCAGCCTATTATGTATTCTTCTTTCCTGGGTAAGTTGCAGATATATTAAATTCTATCCTGCTTTTATTTAAATTTTTTTATAATTAGTAGTGGTAGTAGGCGATTACCACCACCTTTGAGTGGGGTTTTGTTTCTTTAGGTTGGTATTGGTTCTACCTTACTTTTCTGTGTAATAGTTCTCCTAAAGTCACCAAGACAATTTCATTTCAATGAAGTAGTCGTGCTGCAGTGCTTATGTAAGCTCGAGGTAAAACATTGCTGTTTTACAAGAAGGGCGATGTTTACCTTAAAGGGTTAAGCACACCACTAGTGGCTCCTATACTGACAAATTCTAAAGGCACATCTGCTGCACTGAGTAAAACTGTGATGTTGCAGCTCTTAGAAAAGTATTGGGTTTAATGCTTTCTTATTAAAAGCAGTGGATGCCTCGTATGGTGCTTGCTGCAGAACTTTGGATTGAACAACCACCAGAGTAAGCCATACCTCTTTGAGTCTCAAAGATGGGGAAAATGGCTCATATGTATAAATGTGAGAACCGGCATCAGTTCTTTAGGTTTACTCTTCCCTCCCTCAGATTGTTTTTGCGCGAGTGGATCAGCATTAATGTAGGTTCATCTAGGATACATATTTTCTCTTGCGTTTCATGGGACAGGAAACGCATTTTTGCATTACATTTGACCGGAAGTTGTTCCTTTGGACTCCAAGTAACAATGTTTCATTTTCAATTCTACTTTACTATTTTTTACTGCCTCTCCCTCCTTGGACACACATAGTTAGCTAATAATGTACATATGTGTTTTGTTATTTTAATGATTTTGTTTTATTCACCAACGTTAATGTGCAAGTTAATTATTGGTTGATCATTGGCACTTCTTGATATAGATAGATCTATAGATGGATATTTGACTGTGGTGTTAGCTTGACAAAGACCTCTTAGGTCAAAACGTTGCTGCTCTTTTCTGTTTCTTTTCCAAAACTGCCTGGGGCGTGAAAGCCTTGAATGCCTGGAGATATTTTTTTTTAATTTATTTTTGCCTCAAAGATGGAAAAGGGCATGTAAAAAAAAAAAAAGTATGTCCATAACGAAGGACAGAGGCACTATATATTGTTGGAAATGCAGGATTGTATTACTAATGCTATAGTGTCCTCTTTAATAATGAGGAAGGTGAAGGCTGAAAGACACACGTGGGAGAAAAAAATGAATGTAAAAGTAATGTCTTATGCTACTGTGATAAATCCAATAAATAAAACAACTCATTGCATATTCTGATGATAGTATTTTGTTTAAGAAAAATAACCAAACATCTGACACTGTTAACCTTTTTAATTTGCTTTGCTGAATGTGATGTGTGTTGAAAAATAGACCTCTTTACACTGCACCATTTTGAGTAGGGGCCCTTTTTTTCTATTCAAGGACACCTGGAAATTACAAAGCTGTTGATTTCTCGGGGAGCTGATGCAATGTCGAAGGATAAGAAGGGTTATACTCCTCTCCATGCAGCTGCTTGTAGTGGACAGGTTGATGTGTTGAAGTATTTGTTAAAACTTGGTGTGGAGGTGAGTTTAGTTTTTTAATAGTTTGTTAAAACTGTAACCTTTTAAGGGGTGGATCTCCTCACTTGTCTACACTACTTTAAAGGGACACTATAGTCACCAAAACAACTACAGCCTAAGGCCTTTTAAACTGTGCTAACAGACTTTTGTGCATTTTAATTTGTCAAAGTGCTTAAAGGACTACTATAGTGCCAGGAAAACATACTCGTGGAGAGGAAGGGGTTAAAATCTTACCTTTCACCAGCGCCGGGCAGGGAGCTCTCCTCCTCCTCTCTGCCTCTTCTCCTCCTCTTTGGCTGAATGCGCATGCACAGGAGCTGCGCGTGCATTCAGCCAGTCTCATAGGAAAGCATTCACAATGCTTTCCTATGGATGCTTGCGTCTTCTCACTGTAATTTTCACAGTGAGAAGCACGCAAAGCCTCTAGTGGCTGTCAATGAGCGAGCCATTAGACGCTTTAGAGGCTGGATTAAGAAACTATGTTTTTATCAAAAAAAAATGGGTTAACCTTAGCTGGACCAGGCACCCAGACCACTTCATTAAGCTGAAGTGGTCTGGGTGCCTAGAGTGGTCCTTTAATATCAAAATCGTGCTTATTTGATATTGTGCAAAAATAGCAATAACTTGTGCATAATCTGCAAATCCAAAGTGCCAATTTACACATTATATATGATATACTTGCAATGTACGTAGTTCAACATGAAAAAGAAAAACAGTGTAATACTGTAAATACACCATATATAAAAAGAACCAGATGTGTTTAGCACTCACAAACGTTGAGCAGGTAAGCCTTTGCTGCAGAAAGACTGACAGCCGTGATCAAATTGAACAATCTTTATTTCAATTTAAAATAAAAAAAAATTACCAGTCCCTCAGATAAGCTTCCAAAAGTCCTGTTACCAGTTGCCGGCACTTCTGGATTCCTGGAATGTTTGCGCTCGTAACAGTGGACGGAGTATGGTTTTTTTTATTTTTTTATTTTTTATTATTTGGTCTGTCTTCTCTAGCATTGCATATATAACCATTTTAGGGATGTTAAAAATTAACTTTCTAACACGTCTGTCTTGGCAGATTGATGAACCAAATTGCTTTGGGAACACTGCCCTCCACATTGCCTGTTACATGGGACAAGATTCTGTGGCCACTGAACTTGTTAATTACGGCTCCAATGTCAACCAACCCAATGAGAAAGGTTTCACCCCTCTGCACTTTGCTGCCGTTTCTACCAATGGAGCTTTGTGTCTGGAGCTTCTTGTAAACAATGGGGCTGATGTTAATTTTCAGGTAAAATTTTATTCATGTAAATGGTTTTTCAAAACAAGTGTGGCACTCTTTTTGTGTGTGTGTGTTTTTTGAGGTATGGGTTTTGTCTGGCTACAACAGACTTGTTGCAGGCCCGTCGTGGGTCCGGCCACAGGTCTGTCTATTTCTTTGGAGGGGGAATATGTGATGGATTGCCTGAGTTGCTTGTCGCAGGCCACAAGCTTGTGGTGCCATTTTTGTGATGGTTTTCGATGTGTCTAGATGTTGCTGTGTTGTGTGCCTGTATTCTACATAGAGCAGTGTGTCTGTATATGCAGGTGTGGGGCAACAAAGGGGAGGGCAGCAGCTCTATAGACTGTAAATTATAGTTAGGTGTGGTATTCTGTGTTAATCAAGAAATGCTGCACTGTGTGTGACCACCTGCTGTGGGAGCCAGCAAGTCTATCTGCTACAGCAAAGGGCTGTGTTGATGTAACCAGAGATTGCTCTGAACGGATAGGGGGTTCCAACTTCAAAGTGGAATTTGCGTTGTAAGCTCTGATTGATCATGCAATCAAATTGGCCCCTTTTGTAAAAGTATTAAAGAATTTTTGGAGCTTTTTTATTTATTTATATGTATGTTGTGATTGAAAACCCCTTCCACAAAATGTGCTTCTTTGTTAAACTAATTAGCATATGCCCACTCAGAATCCTTTGCGGTTGTAACATCGCTGCAGTTTGGGAATTTCTGTGGGAAAAGCAAGTCTTATGGCTTGACTGGTATGCAGATTTTTGTTTAACACTGATGTGTATGTGTATATGTGAGTGAACGGGTCGAAACATTGATCAAACAACCTGTAAACCTTTGGATTAAAGACCGTTAATATTCTTAAATAGACTGGAGAGTGCATCTTTCTTCAATATAATTATGTTTGTATGTATCTCTATCTAGAACTCTGTACCTCAGGGGGGGGGACTGAATTGCCTCTCAAGCACAGTAAATCATGGGAGGGATTGCCCTGGGGGTTGGGTTGGAAACCCCTTGTGATTAGGTTTTTGCATAATAGGCAGTGTGTGGCCCTGAATAAAGCAGTTGTACTCCCAGAACTGTGTGTGGTCTAGTCAGGGCCGGTGCAAGGATGTTTGCTGCTCCTCCCCCCCATGTGACATCACAATGCCCCACCCATATGATCAGCCATGTTAACTAGATGCAGTGCTGCCGTGTTAACATTAAAAGGCCTGCAGGGACAGGCTATAGACACCAGAACCACTACATTAAAGCGGCACTGTCATGCCGAACTTACCTTTCCTCAATCTCTTCCTCTTCTCCCCCTCTCTCAGGATCTGTTATACTTTTCTTCCTGTCTTCTTTAGTTTTCTTTAAAATCATAAGACAAAGTAGGGACTCTTTGCCTTATGGGGGATTCCTCCGCTTGACCAGCTCTGACCAGCGGAGGAGCAAAGTGTGCTTCATTTCCGCTGGTCAGAGCAATTTTCCCATGATCCCTAGCTTTCCTCAGTGTTCCCACAATGCTTCCTGTCATTTTACACAAAACTGCCGAATTGCGTTCTAACTGAATGACAACAGTATGTTCGTTTCTTTTAGAATGCAATTCGGCACTTTATTCGGATCAGAATTTCATTCGAATGAATGAAACTCCAATCCTATTCATTGCTGTGGCTGCATTTTGCAGCCGCTTAGTAGATAGCTCCCTGATACCGTGGGAATTAGGGAGTTATCTACTAAAAGGCTGAAAGACCTAAATTGGCCTTTCAGCCAACTTTACTAATACCAAGTAAAAATTACTTAGTATTAGTAAGTAATATGTCCCTACTCGCTATACTGCGAGTAGGGGCATGTCTGGTAAACAGTGAGCAGCCTGTGTATTGACCCCCATAGAGTGAGAGGGGGACCTGGGGGGGCTTATGAAGTGGTGGGGAGCACTGCTCCCTGCTACTTCTATAGTTACATATTACAAGGAGAGAGCTGCGTGCCGGTAGCTCCCTCCTTGTAATAAACTGAACGAACAAACAAACACTGATACATTGTGTTTGTTTGTTCGGCTGATATTTCTATTCACTCATTCGTCTGTCTGATGAATGAGTGAATAGATGAAATTCCCGTTCGCATGTCCAGGTGTTTCACTGGGCATGTGCGGGAATCTCACAGTCTGTCTAGTGTGGGCTGATGACGTGTCCCTGAGGCACTTCACCTACCCACACAAAGATGGCGGCGCCCTGAATGTAGATCGGGGCAGAAAATAAGGATTAAAAAAATAGGTAATGTGGGGGGCTTAGGGGCATTTGGGGGTGACTAGTGAGTCAATTGGATGTAGTGGAGGCGGGAGAGGGGTTAAAAAAAAAAAAACAGAATTCGGCATGACAGTGCCGCTTTAAGCTGCAGTGGTTCTGGGGACTATAGTGTTTCTTTAATGTGAGGTAAATTAGAGATTAGTGCCACGTATAGTATACTAGATTGTCTACTTACAACCAGATGAGGATGATGGGCTGTAGCTGCAGTCTGGCTCCACTGGTCTGGTGTAGAACAGGATCTCTGGAGGCTGTTTGTAACTGTAGTCACAAAAATCAATGTTCTGGGAGAACTGGAAGCAGCTCCATTTTTTTGGGGGCCCTTTACACAGCTCAAGGTCTGGGTCCCAGGGTCCACCTTCATGTTCCACCAATGAGTTTGTTCACAGGGGGTGGAGTGTAGGGAATGTCCTGATTTGTGTGTAAGGAATGCATTGTGTGAATCTGTGTTTAGCCGTGTAAGGGCTGCAAGGTGTGTTTCTGTGTATTGAGTGTGTGTAAGGGGTGCATTGTGTGTGTGTGTGTGTGTAATGGATGTCCATCTCCTCCCCCCTCCCATGTCACTCTCTTCTCCCCTCCCCCTCTCCCCCGTCGCGCCATTCTCCTCCCCCTCAAGGCTGCAATGCTTTCCTATGGGGATTTTACCACCATTGGATGTCCTCATGCAGAGCTCTCTCCTGGTGCTCCTCCTACCTCTCCCAGCACTCTTTCAGTGTTTCTTTCTCTGGCTCTGCTTCTCCCCAACTCCTCTCTGTTGGTGTCCCCCAAGGTTCAGTCCTTGGTCCCCTACTGTTCTCCATCTATACTGCCTCCCTTGGTAAACTCATTAGCTCCTTTGGCTTCCAATATCATTTCTATGCAGATGACACGCAAATCTACCTGTCCTCTCCTGATCTCTCCCCGTCCCTCTTGACTAGTGTCGCTGACTGCCTCTCTGCTGTTTCTAACTGGATGGCTGTCCACTTCCTTAAACTACACTTGACCAAAACTGAAATACTAGTCTTTCCTCCCTCAAGTGTTGTTACTCCTGTGTCTGTCTCCCTCCAAGTCAACTGTGCTACCATCAGCTCCACCACGCAGGCACGCTGCCTAGGTGTTCTCTTTGACTCCGACCTCTCCTTCACGCCTCATGTTCAGTCTATCACCAAACCCTGTCATTTCCATCTCAAAAAAATTGCGCGCATCCGCCCCTACTTAACACCAGATGTGACTAAGGTGTTGGTCCATTCCACTGTCCTTTCTCGCCTTGACTACTGTAATTCGCTTCTCAGTGGTCTTACGTGCTCCCAACTTGCGCTATTACAGTCCATAATGAATGCGGCAGCGAGGCTCATCTTCCTGTCTGCCCGCACCTCCCATGCCTCACCCTTCTCTCAGTCCCTACATTGGCTTCCTATAAAATATAGTGCTCAATTTAAAATTCTCGTTCTTGCTTTCAAATCGCCACATAATGCTGCTCCCACCTATCTGTCCTCCCTTATACACAAGTATGTCCAGTCTAGGCTCTTACGATCTGCTTAAGACTTACGTCTATCTTCTGTCCGTACTCCCACTTCTGATGCTCGCCTTCAAGATTTCTCGAGGACTGTCTCTAGTCTAATACTATCCTTACCTTTTTGTGTCCTTTTTACCCCACTCCCTCTAGCATGTAAGCTCATTGAGCAGGGCCCTCAACCCCTCTGTTTCTGTGTGTCCAACCTGGCTGGTTACAACTACATGTCTGTTCGTCCACCCATTGTAAAGCTCTGTGGAATTTGATGGCGCTATATAAATAACATAATAATTATAATCATTGACATTGCAGGGTTAAGGGGACCGGGACACTGCACCAACACTTCAATGACCTGAAGTGGTCTGGTTGCCTATAGTCTGTTTGATTGATATACTATATTTGGATGATGCAATGACTTCGAGTAACCAGTGTTAAGGGTTATACCTCAGTAGTGAATCCTCTCCGCCGAGGGTCTTGGTGACCTTTGTAGTACTAGTGCAAGTACTTGTTTTGTTTGTGGTTTTTTTTTTTTTTTTGTTTTGTTTTGTTTTTTTTGCACTTGGCTAGCTGGATATGTGAGCAGATTTTCTTTTATTCCCCCCATCCCTTTATAAATTAAAAAATATATATCATTTTATTTTATTTTTATTTTATTTTTTTATTTTTTTTCTTTCTTGTTCAATCCGTAATTCTTTCCTGTAGTGCTGACAAATTGTTACTCAGATTTCCCCCACTATTTTGCGGTGCTTAGTGGGAACAGCCATCACACCACTCTGCAAATGTGGCTATTTGTGTATATGTATAATTTGGTTATTTAGATTGTCCCACCTTTACCATATATACTATACTAGATTATTTTTTTTTTTAATCTTGTTGATTTGATTTTGTATTCATGTTTTTAAGGTGTCCATTATTTATTTTCTACAAAATAGAATACTGATGGAACGGAGACCCTCAATGACCTCTTTGGGACAATACATAAAGTGAAGGATCTCTAAAGTCCCTATAATTCGGTAATCTCTTTAGACTACCTGAGGTTATTACCGAAAGGGTCTTGGGTTTTCAATATAGGTACTTGGTTATTCACTTTTGTCTGACATTGAGCAATAAGGAAATGTGTTCTTTATTCGTCCTGCATGACTTTAGAGGGTGATTTATTTATGAATAGGTGTGTTAACATACATTTATTAAAGACAAAATAAAAGATGTTTTAATAATTCTAGTTCCACATTTTTATTTTCTTTTGTTTAGCCATATTTAAAGGGGTAAACCTCTGAGCTGGGTGGGCAACTTTTCTAGACTTCAGGATTTTGTTATTTTTCCCTCCAGGATTTTAGTCTAATTTTTTTTTTCCCCCATTTGAACTGTCATACCCCAAATAACTTATGCTCATTAGATTGAGCATAAGATGCGGTCTATGCATTGTGCTAGCAGTTTTGCTAGCAAATGTATAGTTAAGGAGAGAACTTTTTTTTTTTTTTTAAACTAGGTTTTTCTCGCAGCTGCCTCCTGAGCGTAGCAAATTTGGGAATTACGTATTTATATTTGAAATAAGTCTTGAGTCTGTCTTACACCCATCACATTATTAACTTGTAAATCACAGCACATGAACTTAATGGCTCTTGTTATGAAAGCCTTAGGCCCATCTTGGCTATTGGAAGGTTTTAGGATTGGTTAAGCATAATTTGTGAAAAGTGATTTTAAATATCAATGTTGTGTTTTTAAAGTTACGCCATTCCAATCCCAGAGGTCTAGTAGTCACCTGCCACTTTTTGTTCTTCTCCGTTATCCTCAGAATAGCCAGCAACAAAACACACTGATTAATTGTGTGTGTAAATAAATTTTTTTAATTTTTTTTTTGCAGAGTAAAGATGGAAAGAGCCCTTTGCATATGGCTGCCATCCATGGACGGTTTACACGCTCTCAGATTTTAATACAGAATGGTAGGTGCCTGTTGCATCACACCTCTCTTTTGGCAGAACATGTTCAGACAAATGGACATTGCTCTCTTCTATTATTTGTAGGTGGTGAAATCGACTGTGTCGACAAATACGGCAATACACCTTTGCACGTCGCTGCTAGATATGGCCATGAGCTGCTAATTAGTACGTTGATGACAAATGGTGCTGATACTGCAAGGTGAGTGTTCAGAGAAATCAGACTTCATACCTTTTTATGAGCGAGATATCATAGCAGAACTGATGCAACTAAAATTAGTAAATATAGGAAATTATAGGAAATTAAAGGGACTCTCCAGTGCCAGGAAAACATTACCTGCAGTGCCCTTCTCCCTCTCACCCCCCATCCCATGTTGCTGAAGGGGTTAAAGCCTCTTCAGTGACTTACCGGAATCCAGCGCCAGCGTCTCTCTGCGCTGGGTCAGGCTCTGCCCACACTCCGCCCCCGCCGACGTCAACCAGCGGGGGAGACCTAATGCGCATGCGCTCGTTAGACCTCCCCATAGAAAAGCATTATTCAATGCTTTCCTATGGGGATTCTGGCGACACTGGAGGTTCTCATGTATAGCGTCGTTTAAAACACTTTTTTCGTGTTCTAAGAACACGAAGTCCCTCTAGTGGCTGTCTGAGAGACAGCCACTAGAGGAGGGCTTAAGCCTGCAAGGTAATTATTGCAGTTTATTAAACCTGCTATAATTATATTTGCTGGGTTAAGGGTGGTGAGATTTGGCACCCAGACCTCTGCAATGGGCAGAAGTGGTCTGGGTGCCTGGAGTGTCCTTCTAAGCCTTTGCCAAGTCTCTTCTGTTTTGCATCTAATAAGGGATTCCCAAGACAAAGGCATATATACCTATATGTAAATTATTCTGTCCTAAAACACACAAAGAAATGAAATAAATAAAACTGTGTACAGTGACCTTTCCACTAGATATGGAGATTAGACTTCTAGATTATGCACATATATGCTAACATTTGAGTTTGCATGCATCCAGGTCAATAGAGTTAAAATGTATGCTGCTTACTAGAGATCTAAACAGTGTACATTTTATAGCATCTTGGCTAGCAGAACATTCAGTGTTCTTTGTGGACCATTCTTCATTGGGTAACATATAGCTCTATTCTGTATCAAAATAAAGCCTTCTAAGGCTGCAATTTATTCATGCCAGAGGTTTCATTTGTATCCTGTTTTCCTTTTTCTCAGGCGTGGTGTACATGGCATGTTTCCGCTTCACTTAGCTGTTCTTTTTGGTTTCTCAGACTGTTGCCGTAAGCTACTTTCCTCAGGTAAGAGATTTTTTTTAAATTAACTACTTGAATGTGTCTTAACCATAATGGGAAATATAATCATACGTGAAAATACAGTCCATATGTTATTGAGAATGTGTTTTTCTATTTAGCGTTTTGTCCGCAATCTGAATTGTGATGCGACATAGCATTGTCCCCTAGATTGGAGCTGCTTGTTTTAGAGCTTCGACTCGAGCTCTGTAAAGCATTTTGCTCATGCTAATTTACCAGTAAATATCCTGGCATCAGATCTCTGTGCCTGCTTGCTATATTGAGATGGACTTGGTAAACCATTTTCTTTCCTTTCTAGGTCAGTTGTACAGCATAGTGTCGTCGCTTAGCAATGAGCATGTGCTGTCTGCTGGCTTTGATATTAACACGCCTGACAACCTTGGGAGGACCTGCCTCCATGCTGCTGCTTCAGGAGGGTGAGTCTCATTTGTTAAAGTAGCCCTTCATTGTTATGCTAACATTCTGTGTACCTAAATAACGCTTTAGGATTATATTTTTTTTTATTTTTTTTTTTTTTATAGAGATATATAAAAAAGATAATTTAAGGTAAACTAAGCAGTGAAATGCATATTGATGTGTTGATACAGTCAATATTACCATTGTAATACATTTAATTTCAGTTGTACTACTCTAGGCTGCTGAGAGTATCCATATGTTTTTATTTTTATTTTCGGATTGTAGAAAAAGAACATGTTGCATAGATTAAAAAAGGTGCTGGCATATAATTTGTCATAAACAAATCAGTGTTGTATTATTTCTTGGACATTTAAATTGACTCTCCAGTCACAAGTGTTTCTCCTTTGCCCTATTTTAGAAATGTTGAATGTCTTAATTTGCTGTCAAGCAGTGGTGCTGATTTGAGGAGACAGGATAAGTTCGGAAGGTAAACATTCTGCCTATATCTTATTTTAATTTGGATTGGCCCTTAAAGCAAGATTAAGTGCTGTAGGTACTGATGTCCCTTTTGCTTGATTTATTCACTACAAGCATCACCCCCCTTCCTCCCCACACCCTCTTTTTTGCCAGCCAATGTAAGTAGTCGACTTTTTGACACCGCCTCCCTCCACTGCTGATGGAGAGTCAGAAGCTCTTTTTCAATGGAGTCCTTCACAGCATGGGTTAGTTCATTGGCTGAGAATGATCAGTCGATGCTCTCAACCAGTGAGCTAACTCAGGAGAGCTAATGGCTTCTGGCTCATTGTTTGTAGTAGAGGTGGGCAGCGGTGCCTAATGTACCCCAGGTAAGAAGTCAAACTTTTCAATTGTTTGACTCTTTACAATGGGTGGTGCTAGGGCGTTTCTTACAACTAACTGTACAGGGCGCTCTACAGTTATAGCGTGCTGGATAGTTTGATGTTTGTAGTGTTGCTTTTTGCATCTTCTGCTGATTTAATTTGGCTCAATTCTCTTGCATGTATTGTAAAAATGTATCTATTCACAGTATTCACAAACAACCAAATCCTAACCTAATCACGACAAATGGATACCCTGCTATTTTCAAATGGATCTCATAATTGCATTGTAAAAAGAAGTACAAATGGGAAAAGTAATTGAAGGTTCTCACATTTGTTATCCTGCACAGTAAAACGCTAGACACAGTACATGTTTGATTGGTCATGTGTGAAGATTACTGTGCATGTGTCCTGTGTCCCCAGTATTTGTGGTTTTTGTTTAGGGGCACATCTTTTCTGACAATCTGAAAAGTACTCTTTTTATTCCGTGTTCCTTTTTAAGTGCTTTTTAATGGTGGTGGTGGTGGTGTGTTTTATTTTTATTTTTTTTTATTTTTTTTTTTTTTCTCCTTTCTAAATCTCATAATGCAACCAAATCACTGACTAGTTATGTCAAGGGCCCAAATCCACTAACTTGCATATGTTTTTTATATTGTTTTAGGACTCCGTTGCACTATGCTGCTGCCAATGGTAGCTATCAGTGCACTGTAAATTTGGTCACTGCTGGAGCCAGTGTTAATGAGGCAGACTTTAAAGGCTGCACCCCCTTACACTATGCTGCTGCTTCTGATACCTACAGGAGGTGAGTGGCACATTCTAGGTTTGTTTTATGTTCCTGACCTTATTCGTAAATCTAGGAAGATCTCTGGGTTAGGCATAATTGTCACATTACCTATGTAAACTTACGTTCAAGCATTCACAGATATAGATGTTCAAGGCCTATTCAGAATGCTTTTTGAGTTGTGACTGTTTAGGACAAAATGCCTAATTTGGAAAATTTTCCAACTTCATGATATACACAGTTTGATATGTTGGCCTGAGTATTGCTTCAAACCACGTTTAACAGTGATATGTACCCCTATGTTCACATGGGTTTAAATATTTAATGTTTAAAGGACCACTCTAGGCACACAGACCACTTCAGCTTAATGAAGTGGTCTGGGTGCCAGGTCCCTCTAGGATTAACTTTTTTTTTTTTTTTTTATAAACTTAGCAGTTTCAGAGAAACTGCTATGTTTATAAATGGGTTAATCCAGCCTCTAAAGCCTTTAGTGGCTGTCTCATTGACAGCCGCTAGAGGAGTTTGCGTGCTTCTCACTGTGAAAATCAGTGAGAAGACGCCAGCGTCCATAGGAAAGCATTATGAATGCTTTCCTATGAGACAGGCTGAATGCGCGCGCAGCTCCTGCCGCGCATGCGCATTCAGCCGGAGAGGAGGAGGAGCTCCCCGCCTGGCGCTGGAATACAGGTAAGTTTAACCCCTTTCCTCGCCATCCAGCCCGGCGGGAGGGGGTCAGTGCCAGGAAAACAAGTGTTTTCCTGGCACTATAGTGGTCCTTTAAAGTGACTCAGTCATCTCTAACATGCCTTTCTCCTATGGTTTACCCTGCTGTTTTTTGAGAATCTGTAATTTCATTTCTGATCTACTTCTCTTTGAAACATAAGACAAAGTAGTCCCTACTTTGTCTTTAAGTATTTGTCAAGCGTAGGAATAATATACAAGATAAAGTACTTGTTTTTCTAAAGCAAAATAAATCAGAAATTGGAAAAATATCTGGTTGTGGAAGAGGAAATAATAGGAGAGGTTTTTGATGTCAGACACTTTAAAAGAGGAACTCCAAGTTCCCTAGACATTTATTTATCCCTATATTTAACAAATTATGCATTTGTGAGGAATGAAAAGTACAATTAAAGGAACACAAACTTGTTTTAATAATCCTATAATGTTACCATCACTATCTGCCCACCCCCTCCCCACACACACCCTGGCCAATCAGCATCTCCTCATAAAGATGCATTGAATTAATGCATCTCTGAGGAAAGTGTCTCCATGCAAAGGTGTCCATTTAAATGTAGAAATCAATACTTCATTTTGCAGTTGGACACTGCCTTTTTAGCCCCTGGTCAGTCATTCTAATAATCTGTCCTTTGCACTTGGCAGTCAGCAAAGAAAAAGCATACAGAAGAGGGGGAAAAACTAACTTCTGTTGATTTTAAATATTTGTTCGGACATTGTTTTAGTTGGTTTATAACGTAATTTGCTGGCTTGTAGTGTTATGTTCTACATCTTTAATATGCATTTTTAAAAGAAAACAGAGCATCTCATGAAAACTGTAACACCTTTCATTTTCTTTCAATAAATGTCATCAATGTTAACGGAGTTTAGTGAAGTAACTCTTCTCCTTTCAATTAGTTGATTTTGGTGTGATATTTGAAATGACCAATGTAAAAGTTTGGGTAAAACTGACACTTTAACTGACTTGTGGTGTTTTCTACACAAAGCATAATTGCAAATGAAAGGGTGAATATTTATTTTAGAATCTGAAAGGTGTTCAAGAAGAAAATGCTTGCTTACAATTACATGGGTTTTTGTGGGATTGTTTTGTAGTTTTACTTATCCACTCTTCTTCCTCCTCCCGTGTGCTTACTATTCCTTCTCAGAGTGGACACACACTCTGGGACAAGCCAGGAGCCGGACGAAGAGCTGCTGAAAGCCTCGCAACAGAAGGAGGCTTTCTTGTGAGTCGCATGTTTGCTTGGCATGTGTTCGGCAAAATGAACGCCGATCTCATTTTACCACACTTATATTATTTACTCACATACACAGGAAGCCAAAAAATAAACCTAACCGTGATTGTTAGAAAACCTCTGGTCTCATAAAAAATTTAAAAATGCATATCCACAATATTTTAGCTTAATATAATGGTTTCTTTATAATGCTATGTGGATAATAAATTCTGCAATAATGCTAGTTCAGTTCCCATTTTTCAACTAGAGCACTGCCCACTCAGTATATGTTCGCTAGTTAAATTATTTTTTAGGTGCATGTTTGGTGAAGTAAAGACCTTCCTTAATGCTGACACTTGCTTGTTTTTCATGGATGCCTTTTCTTTTTCTTAGCTGCCTAGAATTCCTGCTGGATAACAATGCCGATGCGTCATTACGTGATAAACAGGGATATGCTGCTGTACATTATGCAGCTGCATATGGCAACAGACAGAATCTGGAACTGGTGAGTAAAATAAAAAAAAGTAACGTAAGTGTGTTTTTTCTTTTTTTTTTTTTTAAAGCAATCAGTCTTTGTAGTTTTCTTTTAAAGGCTCTTGTGATATCACAAAAAGCATAACCACTATGGTGTGCCACAGTAGTTATTTTGCCAGTTACGCCCAGCTCCTGACTTGTAAATAGTCAGAATGTTTTAGAACAGAGGATCTCTGCCTAAGCTGGCCCTGAACTGCAGGACCAGAAGAGGTGGCAATAACAGATTACAGGCTCTCGGGAAGTCTGTAATGATTGGTGATGGCAGACCCTTAAGTGCTTGGATTGTTTATAATGCCTACTAACCACATGTTATGCTTGTGTGGTGTGTATCAGTTGGTTCCTACTAGATTTCAGCACAAAGCTTATACACGATAGAAATAAATATCCTGCTTACATAAAGTAGGTAATGTAAAAAAAAATTCATATGCTTTGCTTCGAATATCAAGCACATCCTTAACGTGTGTGTGTGTGTGTGTGTGTGTATATATGTATATATATACATAATATAAATTTTATTTTATTTTAACTTTGCATTATAGTTCAACAGATATATCTGTGTCCATTTAGTACTTTTGACTTCTTTTTCAGCTCCTTGAAATGTCCTTTAATTGTTTGGAAGATGTGGAAAGCACTGTACCAGTTAGCCCTTTGCACTTAGCTGTAAGTAATATTAAGCTTGATTCATCATTTAAATATATTGTGGTTACTTGCTTCCTTTAATTTAGATTACATAGCTCCATGAGATTTGTTTTATATAATCAGAGTAATTTAAATAAAAATCTAACAGACCTATTGCCCTGAATCGATCGGTCAGAACGCATCTTTTGACTATAAATATTACGCATATCTGCAAATTACAGGGTCATTGCCAGTAAACCATTTTATTTAATGGATAGTTGGCAAGTGTAGTGTTTGTTTTTTTTTCCTGATTCTAAGGAGTATATTTGAAGATTTTAATGGATTTTTTTTTTTTATGATGATACCCCTATATGTCCTAGAATTCAGTGTTTTTTTTCGGTCCAATTCTAATTTATCAACAATTTTTTGTTGTATCCGTAAAACACCCATTTATTAAAATGTTGTGTGTCACACCTAAATATAAGTGTGTGCATGAGCTATAAGTGGCTTTAATCTGTAGGTCAGCCATAACTGCTATGTATAAGTTTTTGTTTGTTTTATCACCTTGGAATATGTTTAAATGGTACATATTACTTTTCACTCCAAAAGCTTTGCTCTGAATAGTACTGCACTCTTATTCTACACAGATCTTTGGTATGTAAACAGTGTTATGACCTTAAAGTGACAAGCTATAGGCTACATTAATGAAATAAAGTTAGAATGTATATATGAATGTGAAATGCCCACCACTTACTCAATATAAACATTCTGTCTGAGTCATAGCAAACTTATTGTGCACTCACCCATAGCTTACTGCTGTTTCTATGCTACATGTTCTGATAATGGTTTTTATTTTGCAGGCCTACAATGGTCACTGCGATGCTCTGAAAACTCTGGCGGAGACTCTGGTGAACCTGGATGTGCGAGACCACAAGGGTCGCACTGCTCTTTATCTCGCAACAGAGAGGGGATCTACAGAGTGTGTGGAAGTTCTCACTAGCCACGGGGCATCTCCTGTCATAAAGGACCGCAAGAAGAAGTGGACTCCACTACATGTAGCAGGTTTGCTTACTTGTGGCTAATGGTTTTATACTTTTATTTATTCATTTTTCTCGACCTCTGTTAATTTACATTTTTTTTTTTTCAGCTGCTTCTGGAAACACAGATTGCCTACACCTGCTGATTGACTGCAGCGAGAGGCCGGATATTGTAGATGTTGTGGATGCTCATGGGCAGTAAGTTCAAACTATAAAGATTAATAAAGCCAGAAGAGAGACACATTTTCAAAAAAGTAGAGGTCTTACACTATAAAACAGAAAAAGAACATGCATAATTACAGACGTGACAATCTAACATCACGTAAATAGACCTAAATTAGATATACCCCTTTAAATTCATAGAAAATAATGCAGTCCAGCCACACAGAGTCTCTCAATCTAGTGCTTGGGAGACTCCCAGTGTCTGAACAGACCCTGAAGGGGTCTCCCTTCATTCCCCAATGGCATCATTTTGATCAGTGCTGGGCCTGGTCAGTTGCCCAGCACTGATCTCAATGCATTGGGAATACTATTTTCAATGAAAAAAAGATGGGTAGCTGTCATACTGAAAACAGTCTATAGGTTGCACCGTCATAATACCACTTATCTTCGATTTTCCCTTGGCTAATATCCGTACTATACACATTATTGAAAGTTTATTTGTGTGTTTTTTTTTGTTTTTTTTTTTTTAATATTAAAAATTAGTTATATGTATATGTCACTTCAAATTAAAGCCATTTCTGTCCTTTAACAAATGATCTATAATACCTATGGGGGCACTTGAAAATAAACTCTTTAATTATCGTGGAACAAACCTATAGCTCATATTCTAGGTTTTGGTTCAGAATATGGACAGTTGCATTTTGAAGGTGTTTAGAGAAGTGATTGTGGTTTTTGTTTTTATTTTATTTTTGTTTTGTTTTGGGGGGGATGGGAGGGACAGTTTCACTGAACTCATAACTCACTCTTTGTTATAATGAATTCTTTCTAGAACCCCTCTAATGCTTTCAGTGATGAATGGGCACGTGGACTGTGCTCACTTGCTGCTTGAGAAAGGGGCCACAGTTGATGCTGGAGATAAAAGAGGAAGGACCACACTTCATAGAGCTGTGAGTAGTTTAACCCCTTAAAGACCAAACTTCTGGAATAAAATGGAATCATGACATGTCATGTGTCCTTAAGGGGTTAAGGCAATTTTGCCATTTATCCTATAATTTTGATAAACTTCCTTGTTTAAAAACTTTCTATAGTTTTGATTGCCGAATGCTACTTTACATGATTATTTACCAAAGTTAGAGTTCAAAGTGAAATCAAAGAGAATTTAAAGAGTAGCTGAACTGAAAGCATTTCCAACTTTGAGGGAAGTATTCCAGTTCTAATGGTATAAATGAAGCTGCTATGTATATAAACTTGCGCTGCTAAATTGGCTGCACAATAAAGAAAATAAAAAGATTGAAAATAACATTATTAAAGAGGTATATCAAACTATAAACAAAACAAATGTCTATGAGAAAGAAGGTGAATAAAATGTTGACTGCAGGTGGCCATAAGCTGAATGAAACCATGCAAAATTCCAGTTCAATCGCCAGGGTTATTAATCTGTGTATATTAAATGAAACTATTGATCAGTAACTTTGGAGTTTGGCTTTTATTTTATTTGCAGTCTGTAACTGGCTGTGAGGACTGTGTTGGGGCCCTTTTGGACCACGATGCCTTTGTGCTCTGTCGAGATTTTAAGGGACGCACACCTATTCACTTTGCTTCAGCTTGTGGCCATGCTACACTGGTGCATGTGTATTTGCAGGCTGCGCTTTCTACAGACCCACTGGATGCAGTGGTGGATTACAACGGATACACTCCTATGCACTGGGCTGCTTACAATGGTAAGGTTTATCTATTCATTTCTCCACCCCCACTGTATCGTGTGTGTGTGTGTGTGTGTGTGTGTGACTTGTACATGACTTGCTCTTTTCCCATCATCTCCCAGGGCATGAAGATTGTTTGGAATTGTTACTTGAACACAACCCATTTGCTTACCTCGAAGGAAATCCGTTTACTCCTCTTCACTGTGCAGTGTAAGTGTTCTTTCAAGACCAGACTGGATTGTAAGGCGCTCACTCACGATTCACTGTGCAAATTAAAATAATTTTTTTTGTTGTTGTTTATAGTCCTGACTCTTAAAACTGTGTATTAAATCTTACAGTATTAACAACCAAGACGGTACAGCTGAGATGCTGATAGAAGCTATGGGTGTCAAAATTGTGAATAGCAGAGATGCCAAAGGGAGGTTGGTATAATAACTTGACAATATATAGATGTGCTTAAACCTCTAAAATTCTTACCAATTTTTTTTTTTTTTTTTTTTTTAAACTCTGGAAAATCTGTAAATAAACAAGATTTGTTCAAACTAGTGAATAGTTCACATTCCTTGTTTATATAGGAAGTGTTTAAATAAAAAACAGGGGTGACTCAGAAGCCCATCCAGCGACTAGTCCACAGCAGAATGTTCAGTCACTGTTTTAGCAGTGTATTTCCTATTGGAGAGGAGGAAGGAAAAACATGGTAAACTTTTCTTACCAATATGTTTCACTTCCAAGCTGTTCCCTTTGATAGTAATTCTTGTTTTCTGTATAGAAGAGTCCTGAGGGCCACTGGTCAAGTGGTGTTCAACGGGGGCTCAGTTCTGTACTTCGTGTTGCATGCATATCTTCACACTTTAACTCTTGCTTCATTAGTCAATCTGTTGTCCTATGGTCTTAAAGTGGACATCATTACCCCAAGACACTTTTTAAGAAAAAAAAAGAAAAAAATCCAAATGACATGTTTATGGGAACAAGTGATTGAAAAGCTTGTTAAATGAGAATTTAAAAGGTGTGCAAATTTAAACACTAAGGCCTTCCTGTTTAATCCGCTATTCAATGTAGTTTTTTGTTTTTTTAATTATTTTGCTCTTGGCTTTTAAGCCAATAGGGATGTTATTGCTAGTAAAAGCTTTAGGACACTCATGACTCTATTAATTGGTAACAGAGGGAATTAAAACCAGCATAACGTAATTGTTTGCCATTAAAAGCTTGTTCTATGCAGCATATTACAAGTAATTTTCCTGCTCCGTTCAGGGTTAGTAATATCTGACTTTCTCCTACAGGACCCCTCTTCATGCTGCAGCCTTTGCTGACAATGTGAACGGTTTACAACTACTCATGCGTCACCAAGCCGAGGTGGATGCCACTGACCAGTCTGGTCGGACACCTCTGATGATGGCAGCAGAAAATGGGAAGACTGCAGCAGTCGGTAAATGCATTTTCCTGCTCAGTTTGAGTCAAATGCCGCGTTAGCTTGTGGGCGCAAAGTAATTTGCCCTTAACTGATTACCTTTTTGTCCTCCTCATTTCAGAGTTTCTGCTGTATCGCATGAAGGCGGATTTAACTGTGATGGACATAAACAAGAACACTGCTCTTCACCTAGCATGCAGCAAGGTGCCTGGATCTGCTTATTTAAAAAAAAAAAAAAAAAATCCTAGCTTTTGTTTCCTGTGAAAGTTTACAGTTGGTTTGTTTCCTATTTTCTCATGTAGCAAGCCAAAGTGTTCTTTTGATAGTCACAAGAAACATGGTTAATATCTCCCTGTAATCTTATACTAGCTTTTAAGAGTATGTGTTTGCGTGTGTGTTTTCTAAGTAACCCACGTTTAGCACATCAGGAAAAAACCTGAGCCTTTTTTTAATTTAATTTTTTATTTGTTTGATATTAACCTTTTTTTAATTCAGTAGTTAGAATGTTTTTTTTTTTTGTATGGTTTTTATTTTTTTGTTTAGCTGTCACTCAAACATTTAACGGGACGGCAATGGACTTTCTGAAGGTCTTCTGCCTTTTATTGTAGTTCCCACACCATCTCCTAGCAGCAATATACAAAGTGTGAGTGACAGTAGTTTCCTAGCATGTATTTCCCCTATTGTATAATTTGTGGACTTCGTTTGTTTGTAAAACATTCACAAGAATGTGGCGGTCGGGAGTTCTAGGCTCAGTCATTATTAGTGTACATGAACTGCCTCTTGGCATTTTGGTTTTCTTTTAATTTTGGGTTTAAAGGGTCACTATATACACCAAAACTACTTCAGCCCCTTTGGTGTGTGTATATATATGATTGCAGTCTCACTGCTCAATTCTCTGCTAGGAGTTAAATCACGTTGTTTATGCAGCCTTAGACCCACCACCCCCCCTCCCTGCATGTAACTGTGCACGGCCTTCCTAAACACTCAATGTAAAGTCAAACCTACGGTTTACACTTCCTTTATTGCACAGTCTGCTTAATTTAGAATTGTATCTCCTACACTGTTCTTAGCTTCCTAGATCATGCAGGAGCCACCTGTGTGATTAAAGCTCAATTTACAGAGTCGGAGATTTAAAATTGTAAAGTAAATAACAACTGATTGAAAATGAAACCATTTTTGTCTTCATGCAGGCTCAGTCACAGCTTGGGAAAGGTGTGGTTAGGGCTACATAAACAAGAGATTTAACTATTTTATGGCATAGAATGGAGCAGTGATATTTTCAGAGGCATGATATATACATAAAACTTCTTTAATAAGATAAAGTAGTTTTGGTACTAATGTCCCTTTAAGCATAAAGGTTTTTATTGTGTGTGTGGTGGGGGGGGGGGAGAGATGAATACCTCTTTTCCTATATGTCATATTTTTATGTAACCAATTTTATTGTGCAATATGAAAATTGTAATCGAAAGCCGATGCAAGTTTCAAGGGACAGCATGTCAGCTTAAAAATACTTGTTTGGAATGTGCCTTAAGTTGCTGCTGCCATGTCTGTAACTCAAAAGTGAATGGAGCTTGCATTAATGTTCTCTTGTTTAGTGAAATTTAGACAAAAATTGTTTTTCTTTTATTGGAAATGCAGTTACATCAGCAGTAAGACATATTGTTTTGTAACATGTTTGAGAAGATTATAAAATATCCAGTCTGTTTAGTTCATTGTTGATGTGTTGGCTGTTTTAAAACCTGACTCATTTATCAATTTATCACTTCAATTACTACATGTTCACTGGTTCGTGGATAACTTTGTTCTTTTTCCTTTCTGGGTACTTTTCATAGAGAGCAGGGTTTGCTCTGCATTGGTATTCCAAAAATATGTTGCAATGCAGCATGTTATCAGATCTGGTTACTACTAGATTCTGAAGAGAATACTAAAAAAAAGTTTGGGTTTGCAAAGATATCCTAAGCCAACTGTGTGTTGTGTTTTTTTTTTGTTTTTTGTTTTTTTTTTTCCTCCTCCACGGAGTTATGTTTGAGACACAAAGCCCCTCTTCCCAAACCTCCCCACCCCCCAAAAATAAAAACCCTAATGTATTTTCCCTCAAATACATTTTTTAAATAAGTTAAGAGCATATAACCGCAGTCATACCAGGAAAGGTTAAAGGATCTTAACATGTATAGCTTGGAGGAAAGACGAGACAGGGGGGATATGATAGAAGCATTTAAATATATAAAGGGAATCAACACAGTAAAGGAGGAGACTATATTTAAAAGAAGAAAAACTACCACAACAAGAGGACATAGTCTTAAATTAGAGGGACAAAGGTTTAAAAATAATATCAGGAAGTATTACTTTACTGAGAGGGTAGTGGATGCATGGAATAGCCTTCCAGCTGAAGTGGTAGAGGTTAACACAGTAAAGGAGTTTAAGCATGCGTGGGATAGGCATAAGGCTATCCTAACTATAAGATAAGACTAGGGACTAATGAAAGTATTTAGAAAATTGGGCAGACTAGATGGGCCGAATGGTTCTTATCTGCCGTCACATTCTATGTTTCTATGTCATCGTGAGAAATTATGCTGAGTTACAATAATCAACATTCCAGAGATTATTAAAAAGTTAGAATACAAACACAAGTAAAATAATTCAAAGAAAAATGTACAAGCTTTATGCAGTTGATCACCCTTTAATCCAGCCATCCTCCCATCCCAGCTCACACTCACCCTCTCCGCAGACAAGAATGGGAATTATACTACAGCAAACATGTCAAACTCAGTCTGGCACGGGCCACATAAACAAGGTTTAAGTTTATGTGGGCTGCAAAAAAAAAAAAAAACGCACCCCCTCTACCACACTGTGCCAAATCTGATCCCCTCGCTGACTGTCACACTCTCGCTAATTCATACTTTTCTTTATTGTTCCCTACCTTTTTGAGCCGATGTGGGGCATCTCCCTGGGGTCCTTCTATCTGCTCCTCACTGCTCCCTCACTCGTTTAGTATTGCCGGGTGCCGGAATATGAAGTCATATTCCGGCGCAGGCTTCACTACAGACTGTGCGAGGGAGCAGGAACGCTGAGCTTTCTCGCTGGCCCTCCTCCCCGGCCAGGTACGTTTTAGCAGAGTAGGCACCTGCAATGTGGGGAAAGCAGGTGCCTACTGTGCTATAACACCAGCATGTACTCGCGGCTCGCCGGGCCGCAAAGATGGTCCTTGTGAGTGCTTGTACTAGAGGTATAGAGACCTGGAGAAGTGATATCTTCATGTGAGATTTCTGTAATCAGGGAAATGAATTGGCCACCCAGTATCAAGAAGCAACCGGTTTGGAATAATATCAAACTTTGAGCAGAACTTAAGTGTACCGACCAACCATCACTTCAGCCAAAAATAAAGTGTACTCAAATGTTGCCTTTATTTTAAAATGAAAGTGGTGTCTAGGGTAGGAATGTAACATTTCCATGAATTGAGGATTTAAATTTTTGGGGGCTAAAATTTCCTTGTTGGTTAGTGTATAGCCAAACCATTTTAAATGGAAAACTGAGTTTGGCTAAGAATAACTGTAAGGGTCGTGTACCTGGCTGGGTCTAGACCTGAAAAATAGTTTTACAGGTAATGATAATGGAGAATCTTTTATTAGATACGGGGATATTGGTGAGGGTCCCTAACAGTAGAAATCCTGGGTGGCATATTATTGCTTAAGTATGTCTCAACTTCTTTCCTGAAATCCTGAATCAAGGGGCACTCTCAGTGATAGAGATCTGCCTTGGTGTGGGTGCATTTAAAACTGGTTGATGTCTGTTTGTCTTAAACATCAAGTGAAGTCGGCGAGAGGGTAAAATAGGTGTAGTGTGAGGTTCTTAAGAACATATCGTGATAAGAGACCATGTGGAGTAGTTTGCTTTGGGTGTAATGTGTAGTTAGGATGTCCTCTGGTGTGACATCAGGAACGTGTCTTCAATTTCCCCAGAACTGTTTTGTAGTTTTTCAGGCTAATTGGCCCAAATTATATACATGTAGTGGAACCAAGACCTATTCAGAATGAGTCGTTGTTACTCCTGAGAAGACAATGAGTGGGCCGAAGATGTTCTCCAGTCTGAGAGAACATTGTGAAGAAAGGTGGTGGCCTTACATATTGAAGAGGTTAGCTAGATAATGAACGCCAAAGTTAAGCTCTTTCGGCCTACTTCAGTCATTGAATTCTGATCAGCAGTGCTCTGGGTGTTGAGCATACCCATGCTAATGGCTGTATTTCCTTATCTTTATTTAAGAGATAAGACATTCATATAGAAAAGATCCTCATCTTATGAGTGGTGTTTTTGTTTTTTTATAACAAAAAACCTTAAGTTATAGTTTGACAGAATAACGAAACGATCACTATAAGAAGTTGAAGCCAAAATTGGCGTTCCAATGAGATTTTGTGCATTTTTCTCACACAAACAAATATTAAGTCTAACTTTGGCCAGTGTTTGTGACTTAGTGGCTACTAAAGATTGGATATATACCCCATTTGCAATACCTTGGGTTGTCTACTTTTGTAAATGTTATACCATCGTGGGGATAATTCTCATTCCTGGGCTACCATTCGGTCTCAAAGGGAACGTAACCTATCTGGCGAATTTCAATGTGGAAAAAAATGAAAAATATAACATGCTGTATTTGACCCTGTAATTTCCCAAAACACAATAAAACATATATACATAGGGGCAGGGCTCGAGTCCTGCAGGAATGCGTGGGAACATTCCCACTGTTCCTGCAGGCACTCAGGGGGCAGCAAAAAATGCCACCCTGAAATGCCCCCCCGCGTCCCACCTGTCATGAGGGGGGCGCAGGAGGTGGCCCGATGGACCCCACCGGCGGGTGCCTGTCTCTCTGTCAGACGCAGCGAGGGAGCTGTGTTCTCTGCTCCCTCTCGCCGCGCGCCGTTTGCTGATGCTGGGAGCCGGAATATGACTTCATATTCCAGCTCCCAGCATCAGTAGACAGCCCGTGCGGCAAGAGGGAGCAGAGAACACAGATCCCTCGCCGCATCTGACAGTGAGACAGGCCACCTCTCCACTGGACCCCAGGGACGGGTCCACATCAGCTCTCCAGGTAGGGAGGCTGGGTGGACATTTTTATTTTTTTAAATTTAAAAAAAAGATAATTTTGTGTGTGTATGTATATTATTTGGTTGGTGGGGGCAATCTTTGGTGTACCTGGCTGGGTCTAGGCCTAAAAAACTGTTTTACAACCCACTGTCCCAATGATAATGGAGAATATTTTATTAGATACGGGGATATTGGTGAGGGTCCCTAACAGTAGAAATCCTGGGTGGCATGCACTTTATTCTCCAGGACTGGGGGGTACTGTTTTGCATGTGAGACATCTCTGAATACAAATGTGTATTTTATTGCAGTAAAAGCAAACAGTATTATGACATTCACAGTTAAAATGTCATGTCAAACTAAAAAAATTTAAAATTTATTTTCTCCCATTTTTTTATATTCATTTTAAATTGTTTCATACCTAGATATTTGATGTTAAATGAAAGCCCTGATCCCCCTGAATAAAATGATATACAAGTGTGGGTGCCCCTTATTTGAAAGAGGTAAATTACGGTTGAACAGACCATATAGTCAAATTCCTGGTTTTGTTTTGATCAAAAGTGTACATTTGGCTCGGTCTTAAGGGGTTAACATTGGATATGTTTGGAAATTCTTGCGCAGTACCCATCTTGCACATAAAACCACATTTTATAGTGTCACCTGATGTCTTGCATCCCCACAGTTCATTGCTTGCATGGTCCACTGCTAGCCAGTATGGGAGATCATAACCTTTAGGAAGACCCTGGCTAAATATTTGATTTAATTATTTTGGCACTACAAAATCTACCTTATCCTACTTTAAGCACTGTCCAACCGGTGCAATGCACTTGCTTTTCTTTCTACACAACTATTCCTGTAGATTTTGTGTAAAGTCTCTGCAATATAGTTTTGTTGTGCTTATTATATAGGCCTCCAAGATCACCCATTTAACACTCCCACCCCTTGAATATGTTTCATGTTTTGATGGCTGCAATGTAAAAAGGGCTCATCCGTGTCTGTGTATATTCAAATTAAGTGTAAAAAGATTAGCAACATTTCAGGTTATGTATGTATGCATGTCCATAATGTATAAATTATTTCATTTTAACTATTGTGATCTGTTTTGTTCTTAATTCTGTCATTTAGCAGTTAAATTACTTTGTTTATGCAACACCACATAGCCTTCATAGAACTTTCATAAGAGTTGGGTAGTTTTTTTTTTTTTTTTTATTGAATTATTTTAACTTCTATTATTACGTGTTTAATTTTGAATTTATCTTGTGCTTTTAATAGCCTGTATCAGCCTCCTTCTGTGTGTGACTAAAGTTCAGTTAGCTGAGCTGGAGATTAGAATTTGTATAGCGCAAACACTGTGCTGTAAGACTTCACTGGAAATTAAACCATTTATTTCATGAATGCTCTGAGTCAGTCGAGTTGTGCCTAGGTTTGCATGAATGGAAACTTACTTTACTGCCTCAGTTGCAGAGAATTGAGCAGTGAGACTGCAGATTCGTATTTATTTTTTTAATTTTGAGTGTCCCTTTAACGCACTCAAAGGGTGTTGCTATAGAAGGCTAGACTGATGTTAATCCTCTAACAATGGCAGATATTACAAGGTTATATTCCAATGTTATACGTTTTTATGCTATTTTTTTGTCTTGTAATAAAACTATTACACCTTTAGAGTTTATCTGGTTAAGTGTATTTTATTCTATTTAATACAAATATAATATGAACAAGTGTTTTTTTTCTTTTTTGTTTTTTTTCCTCCTCCTTTCTTTCTAGGGACATGAGAAGTGTGCCTTGTTGCTTCTAGGGGAGACCAGAGACCTTGGCCTTATCAATGCAACCAACAGCATGCTGCAGATGTAAGTAAAAATGATGGACCATCTGTTTTGTCCTTGAAGGCATCCAATGAAACAAGAGTAATGCTTCTGAAAGCCAGTCAAACATTAATCTTGTGTATAGTGTTCTAAAACTGTAGAAATTAGATTTTCCTGGTGATCAGCTCCACCTTTATATCTTTTTGCCCCACATTTATAGATAACCCTCTTAAAGGGATACTATAGGTACCAAAACCACTTTAGCTTAATTAAGCAGTTTTGGTGCATACATCATGCCCCTGCAGTCTTACTGCTCAATTCCCTGCTATTTAGGAGTTAAATCACTTTGTTAATCCAGTCCTAACCATATACCCCATGGCTGTGCCTGACACCGCTTCCATGCAAAAAAAGGTTTCAGATCATGCTATTTTTACCTGCAGATCTGTTAATAGAACTTTAATCCGCACATGAGGCTCCTGCAGGCTATTAACAGCAGGGTGTAAGAAATTCTAAATTAAGCAGAATGTTCAATAAAGGAATTCTAGAAATTAGAACGTTCTATACAGGAAGCGTTTTGGAAGGCTGTGCAGGTCACAAGCAGGGGCTGCATAAACAAGATGATTTAACTTGTAGGTGGTAGAGAAATTAGCTGTTTGGCTGCAGGGGCATGATCTATACAGCAACACTGCTTCATTAAGCTAAGGTGGTTTTGGTGCCTATAATATCCATCTAAATGTCTATAGTAACCAGATTTGTATAAACTGGTAAAGGACATTTGACTTTGAAAACAAGTTATCTTGACATGTTTCTAAAAACAATAAATATCTATAGATTTGGCTTCTGCAGGGAATACAGATATACCCATTAAAAAAAAATTATATATTTTTTTTGATTGTGTAGTCCTATGCATTGTCTGTTACTCTTGGAGGAACATTTTTGGAAAGAGTGCACGTGTGACGATTTGTCTGAATGGTAGGTCAAATGCTTTTCACAAAGAATCATTATTTTTCATAGATTAGCATTGGATTGCTAATGACTTAGAGCAAAGGTAAGTTATATGGCCTGGGATGTAAAGGAGAGAGAATTGGGCTGTGTGCACAGATAAGTAAAGTAGTTTTATATTCAGGTTCTTTATTAACCGCATAAAGCTAATATAGGCTCTTCTATCTGCTTTCAAATGCTTTGTGCGCTGATACCCGACTCACAGGACAAAGGCTTATGCCTACACTTAGAAACACGGTATTTTTCTCCTGATGGAGTTTGTCTGATTGCAGGGATAGGATGAAGTGGTTTTGGTGTTTAGAATGATTAAGATGTCTATTCCGTCTTTCAATTGTGAAACTCTCTGTGCACTTGTAATTTAATGAAATTTTTGTAATTGCTGTATTGTATAGTGGTTGTTTAAACTGTTATCTAAACGCATTCACATTTTTATAATTGGCCTTTTTCTTCTCTCCCTACCACCCCCATAGGCCGCTCCACATTGCTGCCCGTAATGGGCTAGCATCAGTTGTTCAAGCTTTGCTTACACGAGGAGCAACTGTGTTGGCTGTGGATGAAGAAGGTGAGATTAGGGTTCACCATGCTTAGTAAGAATTTTTTTGGGCGGGGGTTCATGTGAAGATCTTGCATTTAATACTTATGTAACTCCTGCATATTCCCTCGTAGACAACAGGAATGCTTTCCTGTAATGTTATGAACTATAGAGGTACTTGCTAGACCATTGCTCTGTTCTATATACTTTTAGACCTGCCATAATACATGTTTGTGTTTTTTGTTTAACTTTTGTACTTCACCGGTCTCTAATATAATGGTGATTTTAAAAAAACACTTGTTAAAGCAACTTTTACCTTCTGGTGTGTCTGCCTATTTTGAAACGATTAACCCCTGATGTTATACACAAGAGATGATTAATATTCCGGTTCTTTAATGCAGAGTTCACTTTCCACCTCCACAGTGGTGGATGTAAAATATAGTGTATAGTCTGCAAGTCCCTTTATGTTGTAACCAATGTTGGCTTATGTTTTATATCCACAGTTCATTGTGGGCAAAAAGTGTACCACTCCGTCAGAGCAGCTGAATCGGTACAAGTACCGATTTGCCCACTTACTGCTCATCTGGTTTTACTGGACTCTACAGGTGATACTCGAAAAATTAGAATATCGTGCAAAAGTTCATTTATTTCAGTAATGCAACGTAAAAGGGTAAACTAATATATGAGCGCAATGCAAGATAGTTCAAGCCGTGATTTGTCATAAGTGCGATGATTATGGCTTACAGCTCATGAAAACCCCAAATCCACAATCTCAGTAAATTAGAATATTACATTCAATCAATAAAACAAGGAGTGTACATAGAACAATATCAGACCTCTGAAAAGTATAAGCATGCATACTGACTCAGTACTTGGTTTGGGCCCATTTACTGCATCAATGCGGCGTGGCATGGAAGCTGTCAGGCTGTGGCACTGCTGAGGTGTTATGGAAGGCCAGGATGCTTCAATAGCGGCCTTCAGCTCTTCTGCATTGTTCAGTCTCATGTCTCTCATCTTTCTCTTGGCAATGCCCCATAGATTCTCTATGGGGTTCAGGTCAGGCGAGTTTGCTGGCCAATCAAGCACAGTAATCCCACGGTCATTGAACCAGGCTTTGGTGCTTTTGGCAGTGCTGGAAAATGAAGTCCGCATCCCCATAAAGCTCGTCTGCGGAAGGAAGCCTGAAGTGCTCCAAAATCTCCTGGTAGACGGCTGCATTGATCCTGGACTTAATGAAGCAGAGTGGCCCAACACCAGCAGATGACATGGCTCCCCAAATCAACACAGACTGTGGAATCTTCACACTGGACTTCAAGCATCTTGCAGTGTGTGTGCCTATCCATTCTTCCTCCAGACTCTGGGTCCTTGGTTTCCAAATGAGATGCAAAGGTTGCTCTCATCAGAAGATGACTTTGGTCCACTGAGCAAAAGCTCAGGTCTGTTTTTCTTTAGCCCAGGTAAGACGCTTCTGACGTTTGTTGTTCATGAGCGGCTTGACAAGAGGAATACGACATCCGATGCCCATGTCCAGTATCCTGTGTGTGGTGGCTCTTGATGCACTGACACCAGCCTCAGTCCACTCCTTGTGAAAGTCCCCAACACTTTTGAATGGCCTTTTCCTGACAATCCTCTCCAGTCTGTGGTCATCCCTGCTGCTTGTGCACCTTTTTCTTCCATACTTTTCCCTTCCACATAACTTTCCATTAATGTGCTTTGATACAGCACTTTGGGAACATCCAACTTCCTTCGCAATTACCTTTTTGAGGCTTTCCTTCCTTATGGAGGGTGTCAATGATGGTTTTCTGCACAACTGTCAGATCCGCAGTCTTCCCCATGATTGTGATTCCTACTGAACCAGACTGAGAGACCATTTAAAGGCTCAGAAACCCTTTGCAGGTGTTATGGCTTACTTAGCTGATTAGAGTGAGACCCTGTGAGCCTAGAATATTGCCCCTTTTCAGAATATTCTAATTTACTGAGATTGTGGATTTGGGGTTTTCATGAGCTGTAAGCCATAATCATCGCACTTATGACAAATCACGGCTTGAACTATCTTGCTTTGCATGTAATGCGTCTATCTCATATATTAGTTTCCCCTTTTATGTTGCATTACTGAAGTAAATGAACTTTTGCACGATATTCTAATTTTTCGAGTATCTCCTGTATAGTGGTCAAGACAATATTTTAACCATTTTGTTTATATATGCAGGAGTTTTTAAAGCATTTTTGTATAGGGTTTTAATAAGTCTGAATAAATTGTTTCATTATGTATTCTGCTTTCTGCATCCTTTCAAGGGACACAATATCACACTGAACTGTGGATATAAAACATAAGCCAACATTGGTTACAACATAAAGGGACTTGCAGACTATGCCCTATATTTTACATCCACCACTGTGGAGGTGGAAAGTGAACTCTGCATTAAAGAACCAGAATATTAATCATTCCCCTTATGTATAACATCAAGGGTATTTTTTTCCTTCCTTCCTGAACCTGTCCCTTATCAGTGGGGTCTTCTTCAACTCACATGAGCAATAGTACAACATTGAAGTCTGTAGAGGTTCTTACAAGACAGTGGGACGTAGGTCATGCGCTTTTCACCTTAGCGGTCACTAGTGGCTCCTGGGGACTTGACGACAAAGCTTTTTGTCAAGCATAGGAAAAATACAGCATCATACTTTTCAGATTTTTCTTTTTTTAAAGCGGATGTATATGGTTGACACTCATCTTTGATCTAATTAAGCGGTGATTATGACACCAGTGCTGTATTGTTATACTGTTTAATTTAGAGGCACACTTTTTCTACCTCAGAAGAAACAAAAGGAGTAAGAACGGAACAGGGCCTCAGTCCATAACGTTGTTCTTCCATGCAGGATCTGGGAACTGGGTAACCTAGTTCCCCAATCTCCTCTGTGGTTCATTGTGTTGGAACATGGTATGCAGTCAATACAAGCCATAGGGAGTTCCCATTGCATTTAAGATCTCTGGGTCGGATACATTTAATCTAGCCATTAGTTTGGTCGACACCCCTCTTCTAAACAGATATACCATGCTTCCGTGCACTACTCTCTTGAATACAGCAACTTGACTTGCTTTTTATTTAAAAAATTTTCCCTCTAAGTTTTTAGGTAGTGTAAACTAAGAAAATACAAGTTACAACATGGATGGAAAGAAATCCAAATATGTAAAGATGCATGATTGAAAGAATCATATTGGTGATGCATACATTCCTTTAATATTTTCTTATAAGTGCAGAAGTTTGCAGGCGGGAAAAAATGTGTAACCTACTGAAGAGGGGCATGCAGTATCTGCTTTCTTTCTAATGTTGACATTTGTAAAGTGATTCCCTAAAGTTGATTTTTTTCATAGGTTACCACAGGTAACGTTTCCTTGTCTACATCTCCCAACAACATTGGAGAGAGGGAAACATTACTGGTAAACAGAGACATTGGAAAGATGCAAAAATTGACATGGTCAAGAAGAAAAATTATCTAGCATAGATGTAGTTAATAGGAATTCCACATGTCAATATATTTACATTTTGGTATAGATCATTGGACTGTCTACCGTATGCCTATTTAAACAAAATAACATGTTAATAATGGGCTTTTAAACCACTTTAGATAGCACTTTGTGAGGTGAATGTATGAGCTTTTTGTTTTGATGTTGCTTTCAATATGTAACCTTTATTTATTTCGGTTTTCTTTCTTTGTTTTTTCTTTCCCCCCACCCCTTGTTTTGTTGACAGCAGGTCACACCCCAGCCTTGGCCTGTGCTCCGAACAAGGATGTAGCAGATTGCTTGGCACTTATCCTTTCCACCATGAAGCCTTTCCCACCAAAAGACGCCATCCTCCCCTTCAGCTTCAACCTTCTGAAGAACTGCGGTATCGCTGCTAAGACTGCCCTTCCCAATGGCAGCAGCTGCCCTTATACAAAGGATCGGCACAGCTCAATTGCCATGGATGGCTGCTACTCTGAGTAGCTACTGCCGCTCTGTGGGTGACCCAAAACCTTATTTTAATTTATTTAGGATAATTTTAGGGCACTTTAAAGGAGAACAAGACATAAGTGCAAAGGTTTGATCTTCTATTGGCCATTTCTCACATTTTTCATATGGCTCTTCTGAGCCAGCCTGCCCTGCACTGACTATGATATAGTAGGTTACCTTCCTTGTACAATATAAGGACCCTCATCAGATGGGGAAAGCGTTTATGGTCAGGGTGATAAACCCTTTTAACTTTGGCATTCATTTCAGTCAGCTGCCTGTACTGGGTGCATGCTAAAACTCTTGCTGAGTGGAGGAAGCAAGAAGCATTCCATCATTAACTTGGATGTTCACTCTGTGCAATTAATGTCTTTGCTGCTGGGAGGTCCTAAAAGCAGTTATATGTGGAATGGTCAACAGGCCTTAATATATTCAGGGGCAGCTTGAAATTTCAATTCAGGTTCGCAGGACTGTTCATGCAAGCAGCATCTTGATTTTTCAGTTCAAAACTCTAGATGTGTGTAGCATTCTTCTCCCCTAACTACCTTACAACTTATTTTAGACTGTTTTTAAAAATGTAGTGTCAGTTCTTGTTTAACCAAATGACCTGCTCTAACATGCTTTTATGCAAACAAGATGCTGCAGTTAGCCTATTGTTGGCTCCTTACATGGCATTCCCACTATGCACTGCTGCAAAATCCCCCCACCATCTAGGCACTTTAGTGATTCTGGTATTCTAATACTATTTTCCTCCTCCTTGTTCTTCTTTTCTTTCATGCCTCACAATGTTATCTTAACATGTCATCAGTATTTTTTTTTAATTATTTATATTAAGTTTTCATTTCTGGATTGGACTGTAACATTACATAACATATTATAGTCCACGCCAGCAATGAAGATGTTAAAAAATGTTTTTCCATCCACGCCCTTCCTCTCTGCTGTTCGAACTATTGCAACCTCATAATTTTCAAAGTATAATTTGCACTTAAAATCCCATTCAACCAGAAGCTAAATATCCAAGGGGTGTGTGTGTGTGTGTGTATGAGTTTTAGTATTAGATGTTTACTTGATCACACAAGTATTTAGTTGTTTTGGGTATGTTTTTATTCTCCGAATGTAAGACCTGTGCTTCTTAAATTTTTTTTTATTTTTTTTTTTAGTATTTTTATTTTAATCTCTAGTAAATCATTTGTTTTGTTCATCCAGTAAATAGGATACAGCATGATCGAAACTTAAACTTGCTTTACATTGCACAAAGGCAATACAATAAGTGAAGACCGTTTAGTAGTTTTTTTTTGTTTTTTTTCCGATTGCAAGCATTTGACTGTTAGCCTAAGGTCGGAGTGCCCAAAAGTAGATAACCTGGATATTTTAGAATTATAGCCTTAATGAGGACTTATACTTTTAAAGTATGACAAAGAATCACAGAGCTGTAATTCTAATATCTGGTAACGGTTGATCTGTACAACCTTGTCATTTTTGCTTGATCAGCAGCCCCCCCCACCCTTTTTTTTTTTTTTTTTTAGTAACAAAGGGATCAACTGCAAACATTTTACTACTGCTCATAAGGTTTTTACATATACTTGGACACCTCTATGTCCGTGTTTTTTTTTACTTGGTGGGGGGAGAAACTGTTAACACAGTGGTACAGATATGTATACTAAACATTTTTTGTAGATTGGTATTTTTTATGGCTAGTCATAATTGTCAAGTGTTTGTATAGCAGGATGTTGACAAATTCTGAAGCCAACCTGTTTATAGGAGCATTCGTAGTTTTATTTATGAAATATCGGGGCTCTATCCTCATTTTTAGGAGCTGTAGCCCCACAATTTATCTAGCTCTCTGAATATTATACATCTACAAGGTGTTGCAGTGAACCATACATAGAAAAGTACTGCTTTTCAGGGTATTTTGGAGGCCATTATTTTCCCCTTATATAAGATGCAAGGCATTGAATGAAGTACATGTTGATTTTCCTATACCTTCCATACTGCTCATGCAGCTTTTAGCTGTATGTAAATAGAAGTTATGGTTGGAATGTTAACCGAGGTTGCATTGAAGGAGGGGAAATAACAAAGAACAAACCTCTTCATACTAACAGGGGAAACCGTTAACCACCCTCAAACAAACAGGGAATTTAATGGGTGGGGGAGGGGATGGATTCTAAATATCTCTAATTTGATTGGATGGTGTCATCCCTGTGAAACCTCATACATACGCACTCAAATCTGCTATTTGAGATAACAGATATGTACAATGCACATACTTTTTAAAAGTATATGGTTAATTCTTAAGAATAAAAATTTATAGGGAAATTTTAAACATTGGTATTTCACTCTCACATCTTTGCTGTATTTTATCCATTATCGTTTACACTTGTTTTGTTTGGTTGTTAGAATGTTACTAAAATGCAGTAGCAGCTAAACAAAAGAAAATGGTATGTTACATTTCAATAGATATTCAGTTGGTTTTATTTGGTAATCAATTTTAACAGATATTTTAGTGTTTTTGGATGCATTTAGTAGAGCTTGTTTGCTTGATATCCCAAAGCTCTGAGACGACTTTACATATCATGCTGATGACCTTTGTTGGGTAGGCTGGAAATGAAATTGCTATGTGACCATACATTTGTATTGGTTTATTTGTATTTAAGCATTCTACAGTTTTGGTTAACAATGAATTAATATGTAGTAACACTATTGAACTTTTAGTCTTGTCATCATTGCAACCCTACATACATTTTCGTAACGTTCTTTTATTTCAATTTTGGGAGTTTCAGAATATCCGATCTGATGCCTTAAAGACATTTAGAAGCTGTGAGACAATTTACACTGACAATTCGTACCCATGTCCATTTAGAACCAAGCAAAATCCATGTGGTCTTCTTAGTAAGTCCTTGAAATCACCAGATGGTCAATGCTTGTTACATTTGGGAAGACTATTCTTAACATCCAAGTCTTGAGAGTATTATTGGCCCACTTTAAATGCAATGTTCAGATTAACTTCAGACAAAGTTTAACATGTCATCTTCACATCATGGCAGATAAATTGCCTTGACATTGTAACTCACCTGACGCTGTGTCCTCCCCAGTGTTTGTATCTATGTCCCCCAGTGTCTAGCATACTGGTTAGGCATCATTAGCTGTTGCATGCTAGGTACTCTGGGTACAAGTTAATAAATAAATATTCTCCACTAGCTGCCAATTTTTCAACATAAATCTAATTTTAAAATCACTAGCGGGTTCAGTTTATTCACATAGTAGTTTGGTTTTAGTTTTCTTCTGGCATTTATACTGTAAATATTACAGCATCTGTCTTTAATCCAACAAATCAGACCTTATTGGTGCAAATTCATAATAAAGTGTAACAATTTGTTCTGCTACTCTTCATAAGGCTTACCACTGTGCCCCTTGAGTGTACAACCTTTTTATAGCGAAATGCTTTACGTCACATGACCCTATGTAATCAAGAAATTCCCAACATTTATTCCTGAAAAGCATTCAAATCAAACCTCTTCATCTCTAATCACTTGGGTTTTAAATACATGTATACCTTTTCTCTACATTTTATTTTAAACTTTATTTATTTTTTGCCTTTAGTGTAAAGGTTACTGGTTATTATTAAAGAGAAACTACTCCAAATGACCATTTTGTTTATCTACCTCTCATAACTGTTTCACTTGCAGCTTTCATTCTATACCAGGCTACCAATGCACTAATTTAACATGCTCTGAGCAGAACATTCAAATTGATCAAAACTAAATTATGACGCAAACTATTTACTAAATCTTCATGTATACAAACAAATGTGTAACATCCTACTTGACATCCTTATACAATGTTTCCCTTACTTTAAACAAGTAAGCATTCAGAAAGAACCATTTTAAGATTATTCAAAAAGAGATTTATTTAAAGGTTAAAAAAAAAAACACTGTTGGAATTAAAGACCGTTGCTGGGATTTCGGTTATCTGGATTCTTATTGGGTGGACTGGTTGTGGTTTCTCATTTCCTGGCACAAGTAGTGGGTAGTGAGCCAAGCTGTCTAAAGTTTCAAGAACATGGCATTTTCAAATATGATTTGTCCTTGCAAAGAACACAGTACATAACTATTTTTGGAAGATGGCTACCGCTAGTTTACTGCACTTTGTTTACCATAGTTTTGAAGGAGCAATTTACATAATCATAATTAAAGGGACTCTCCAGTGCCAGGAAAACAATCAGTTTTCCTGGCACTGCAGGTCCTCTCTCCCTCCCACCCCCCATCCCAGGTTGCTGAAGGGGTTAAAACCCCTTCAGTGTCTTACCTTTATCCAGCGCCGATGTCCCTCGGCGCTGGTTCACGGTCCGCCCACGCTCCTCCCCGCCTACATCACTGCACTGCAATGCTGCGCATGCGCATTAGACCTCCCTATAGGAAAGCATTGAAAGATGCTTTCCTATGGGGATTTCAGCTACGCTGGAGGTCCTCACGTAGCGTGAGGACGTCCAGTGACACTATAGCACAAAATCTGTGCTACAAACCAGGAAGTGCCCTCTAGTGGCTGTCTAGTAGACCGCCACTAGAGGAGGAGTTAAGCCCTCAATGTAAATATTGCAGTTTATGGAAACTGCAATATTTTCTGTTGCAGGGTTAAGAGTACTGGGAGTTGGCATCCAGACCACTCCAATGGGCAGAAGTGGTCTGGGTGCCTGGAGTGCCCTTTAAAGGATTCCTGGGCATGTGATGCTGTGCCATAGCCATGAAAGTAGTGAACCCTAGTGTGTATTGATTTTTACAGTTTTGTTGCACTTATTCCATATTTGCCACCTAGTATTCTCACAGCTAGGTTTTTACTTAATTTAAATACTACTGTATGGTGCAGTTTCTATGTATTCCAAATATTTTTAACATTTTTTATTATAAGTAGTATGATGCTAGACCTCAAGGGATTTATTTATTTTTAGTTTGTTTTTTTTTCCTCCTTTGCAGGTTGCCTCTCTAATGAATTTTTTTTTAACATGTCATACTCTTATCCCATCACTTTTTTTGGGTCAAGGACATCCACCTCTGACCTAGAGTGAAATATGGGCTCTTGCAGCTGCTAGAGATGAGCTGTCCCTCTTTATCTCATTGATAGGCAACAAATTGAAATTGCCAACTTTAGTCAAACTTGAATTCTTAATAAAGGAACATCCACCGACCTAAAACTTTTTTTTTCTTTTTTTTTTTTTTTCTTCTTTCTGTAATCTGTTTTATTAGATGTATGATCTTTTGTTTCTGATTAACCTATATTAAAATTTTGGGAAAAAATCCTTTCCCTGTTTTTCCCACTCCCTTTACTGACAGCAATTTTTATGCACCTTTAGTCAGATTGTCAGCATCTGACCCAATGTTTTAAAAATTGTGCAGTTTGTCTGCCTTTTTATTTTTTTTAACTTTGCTTATGACTTGCACCCATAAAGTTCACTTTATTTTTTTGCCTTCTTTTGAATCAACAGCAAAAACAGATGTGAAAGGCTTTTTTACAATTTTGCAACAAACTAGGGGTAAAAAATAAATAAAATTCTTAACCCCAGAATGGCATTCAAATCTTTCTTTGCATCAAGAAGCAATTTTTTAACTTTTTTTTATTTATTTTTTTAAACATTTAATCAGATACTTGTTTGAAGGTGGCTATCAAAGGGGTTTGGGAAAGGTAGGAAAATGACTTTTGAGAAATTTCAGTATACATGTTTTAATAAAGAGCATATTATAACAATTCTATAAAGAAATTGTTTTGATGTCTGTTACTTTAACATCTAAAGTTTATAATTTTGCGCTCTCATACAAAGATTTAATGATCACTACGGGCAATATATTGTCTTCATTTCATTAATATTTATGGTATCTGGGGGGGTCTTTCATGCATTTTTACCTCATGGGGGCAATCCATTTTAGAACAATTTAACACCAGAGTGCTGTTCACTGCCCCTGCCATCTCTCCTAATACTTCAACATGGAAACCTTTCCATTTTGGCAAAGTGACATGCTGAAGTGCTCAGACTATCACTGCCCTTCCATTGAGAGACATTTAGAAAAGTTAAGCAATAATGGTACCCAGAATGCACCTTTTAGTGGATAAATTCAAAAGATTGTGTGGTCTGCTGCCAACAAGATGGCTAATAATGTGTCTGACTTTGCTACACATATATCCTAACTTAGTCAGATAAAAAAAAAAATGAACACTCTGGTACCCAATTGGATTCTTAAGTATGTATGTGTTAACCATCTTAGTTGAGTGTTACATGTGTATGACACCTTCGTGTAGCATCCCCCACAAAGGATTTTTGCAATTGGCCTCGTGTTGGAAAACTTTTTCACCTGATGTCACCTATGTTCTACTACCCATCAATATGGGACGAATAGGAATGTTTTGAATAGGCAGCTCATAGCCCCGTGCGTTTTTTGTTTTTACATCTACAAATGTCATCTGGTGAAATACATGTGGATGTCATGCTAGTTAATACTTGGACTTGAATAAACCTGTGTTACTATCACCATAGTTGATTCTTTATCCAAAAAGGTGAGGGAACTCTGTCCATACAGCCTAATTTATATTCTGCCTTAATTTGCAATTGAAGATCTGATGTGTTAAGATATTCTAGGCGTGTCAATTTGTAAAGAGCTTTGGGCTCCTTTTCAGTGGTCCCTATGAGCATCAGGTTCTATCTAGGTCAGTATTTGTCCCGCAGATATTCAAACGTGGTCAATTTTTAGGAGAGCTCATTGCAGTTTGATATGTAAACATTCATGTTGCGCTATTAGGCTATTTCTCAGAGTAATTCCTCTATAAGGAAGACTGTTCAGTTTTTTATTTTTAATATGCATCCACATTTTTTGTTAACCACAACATAAACTATTAGCGTTGTGTATTCTTGATGACCAGAGTTGTCAAGCTATTGGTTTAGAAACATCCTTGTGTCTTCAATCATCTTGTTTTTGTGGCCCACCAAATAATGCCATCTGTCATTTTAGGAAGTTCAGTCATCCATTTGAAAAAGGGGATTACACTTTTATCATGTATATTTTCAGACTTTTATTTGCACTACTTATGACTGATCTAGGCTTTTATGTATGACATTGTCTATAAAGAATATACTAAACTTTAGAATTTGCTCCCGAACTTCAGGATCACAGTTTGACAAAACTATGTCAATCATGACAGCCCTGACCTATCAATGGACCTGAACAGGTTGATCACCGTTGCTGTAAAGGCCATAATATATTTTTCTCAGAACAAAACATGGGGAGTTAATATAATATAATAAATAGCTGTAAACAGAAAAATAAGACAAATGCTAAAAGTGAAGCAAGCACCATAGAAACCAGTTGGAATTGTCCTGTTTATTGGTCATTGCTTTCATTGGTGATTACTTCACTTTTACAGCTCTCAACATTTGTTTTTAAAAATACTCTCCCCTTATAGTTTCTTATCCAGCAGACAGAAAACTGGTGCAAGTCAAATATAAGCGGTTTGCAGAGAATATAAATAGTGAGAATAATTAGTCTAATTGTGCCCCTACCTTTTTGAATTTGTTTAAGTGTTACCTTTTTCAGTCAACACAAATTACCTCAGTTTGATGTTGGTGTTAAAACTTGAATGGCTATTACCGACTCCATGTTCTGGGGAGGTTAGAGTCAAGCAGGCCAGTTTGCATTATTATATTGTTTGTATTTAGTGATGTGCACTATTTTTGTTTGCTTTTCTTGCATATTTTTCGTGTGCCTTCATAAAATGTAGCATAGTCTGGTTTATGGGGGTGGGAGGTCCTATGGAATAGGAGTGTTGTATTTGTTTCAATGGTGTAGATAGGTCTGCCATTTATCCATTCTCCTCCATAGGCAAAGTATTATTTGTCTTCAGTGAGACACATAAGCATATGTCATCTCTGGACCAGTGGCCTTTGTCAGATTAATTGGCTGTATGTTTAAGAGCCAAGCTGGTTAGGTAACAGAACTTCTTAGGAGGACACTCATTTATCCCATCCCTCTGGTAAATCATAGTTTGATTTACATATTCTCCATCTTTGGATTGCGTGTCTCTCTTGTAGAAGTGGTGTCATTGTTTTTGCTATTGATTTTGCACAGGATTTAGGGAAATGAGATTCATGGTATTTTAAAATGTTATGTGGCCTCTCATCCCTGTCATGTAACCTCAGATACTGCCTTCAAGGCATCTGCCAGTTGCTCTTTTCACATCCATTTTGAGAGGATCCTTCGTGCCACTGTTGCTTTGGAATATAATTCCATTAAGGTTCCTCTTCCACTGTATTACACACCTGATGTGGATGTGTGTGTTTATTCTTTGCACAGATGTGTTTTTATTTGCAATTTACAAACCCCCCTGTCTCCCCCCATATTCCCTTTCCAAGACAATCAAAGTTCTGTAAAAAGGGCTTTTTTATCAGACTTTCTTCTCTGTCCTGACTTTACACTTTTCTCATGTTTTTTCACTGGTGGGGGTATGTTGCAGCAGTCCTCTCCCTCTCTATCTCTAGAAGATGCAGCTTTGCCTAGTCTTGTTCTCCTTTAACAATAATATGTGCATTGGCAGCACAGCTTGACAATTCTAAGTAATAATTTGTGAGTGTTTATTTTTTTCGGGGTGCTGGGCATGGGATTAGCAAAGGTAGACACGTTATTTTGCTGTCAAATGTCTGGTTCCCTGAGTGCATTGTTTACAGGGCTGTCCCGAAACTTCCATTCCGATTTCCTTCTTCCCACCCTACCTCCAGGCTGTGTGCCATTTTCCATGGGAATGGTAACTGAGTTTGTATTTTCTTTTAAACATTTGGGGGTTTTATTTTCCCCCACAACAAGTTTTATGCCAAAGTACCCCTACTTTGTTTCATCCAATAGTTTTTTTTGTTTGTGTTTTTTTTTTTTTTTTTTTTTTAAACTCCCAACCCACCACAGCTTGTTCATAGTGAAATGGATGCTCTTAACATCCACAACAGGCCCTTACTTGGGGTACCCCTTTTGGGCCACTCTCATAAAATGGAAGTTTCTTTCAGCTCCTAATGCAAAGCACCTGCTTCATTAATAAGCACTTTTTCATAACTCTCGCTGCTGCTGGTGCCTGCAGAGCATTGCTTTTGCAATGCTGTCTTGATCCATGCAACAGTTAAGGGTTAAGGTATATAAGGGTTCGATTTCCCTCGATGACATCCGGCAAAACAATGGAGTGAATGAAGGAGCATTGTTGATTTGATCCTCCACTGTTGTGCTCTTCCCTCTTAGAGGTGAAATGGTGAAAGCAAGCATTTGTTTGAACACAAATGTGAAGGGACATTAAAAAGAGAAAAAAAGGAGAGAAAAAAAAACAGCACAAATGCATTTCACACAGGTTTACTTGCACTGCCACTGTATAAAAGAAGGAGCTATGTCCATGTGGATAGCTAACGTGAGCCATATTGCTGAATGTATCCTCTGACACCATATAAGAACATATTAAATTAAATTTAAATATGGTTGCCACTTCTTGTTTACACGATTGGTTGCCATTTAATTGAAACTTCCAAAGCCAGCTAGCCGTTCAGATTCATTGCTTTGGATCTTATTAGAACCCGAAGATGGAATGGTCACTGTTTATTTGTAGGGGAAACAAAAACTGACAATTTATCTGCTTTCATATGTCACACAACACTATTTCAAATGTTCTGCTATGTAGAGGACAAGAGATTGTGGTTTCAAAAAAAATTATAAATTATATGTGTGTATATGTTACACCTTAATTGTAACATAGATATAGCTCTATCTAAACAGATTAATCAAATTATTCTTTTCTTAGAGGCCAGCAAATCATGTAGGCCCCCGAGTGCTATTGATATACTTTTGTTATCCTTCGGGGCAAAAGACACAGCAGGAGGATGTATGTGTGGTTTTATTAATGTTTGGGATGTGGAGTACTCTATAAATACTTTGCAACAGAACTAAACTGGACCAAAGCTTAAATTATTTAACTACATAAATTCAAATTGGTATTAACATTTCGGTTATTTTTTTTTTTTTTGAGACTTGCCCACATACATTGAAAACATTGTTAGCAGTATAGTTACTTGAATGGCCTGGTGAATATAGCAGTTAAATAAGCCTACTTCTGACACTAGAAACATTAAATTGAAGCATTAGTAGCCTCAAAAGAATTGATGAATTGGTGGGGTTTATCTCTCAATGTTTATAGCAATAGTTATAGGTGGGTTTTTGCAAAAGTGGTATACAAATATCAACCAAGTGTAAACTGTGAAACAAGCAAAACATGAAATTTAAACTAGGACAGTTCAAAGTGGTATACAAATATCATCAAAGTGCACCTGCTATACACACACACACTATATGGATTGAAGTATTGGGACACAATTATTGAATTTAAGCATTTCATTTGGACCCATTGCCACCGGTATATAAAATCAAGCACCTAGCCATGCAGTCTGCATTTGTGAAAGAAAAGTCATTCTGAACAGCTCAGTGAATTCAGGTGTGGTACTGTGATAGAATAAGCCAGTTTGCAAAATTTAATTCCTGCTAGATATTCCATGGTCCACTGTAAGTGGTATTGTTGGAAAGTGTTGAACATTTGCTGCTGTTCCTAAACGCTTCCAGAGTGGAAGACCATGCAAAGTCAGTGAGGCACATGGTGCGTAATAGTTACCAACGCCCTGATTCCATAGCTAAATAATTCCAAACTACCTCTTGCTTTAATATCCGCACAAAGACTGTGCAGCGGAAGCTTCATGGAATGGGTTTTCATGGCCAAGCAGCTGTATGCAAGCCTCACAACACCAAGTACAAGGCCAAGCATCTGATCGAGCAGTGTAAAGCACACTGCCACTGTACTCTTGAGCAGTGGAAACGTGGTTCTGTGGAGTTAAGAATCACTCTTCTGTCTGGTAGTCTGATGTAAAGGTCTGGATTTGGTGGATGCCAGGACATTGTTACCTGCCTGACTGCATTGTGCCAACTGTATAGTTTGGAGGTGGGGGAAAATGTATGAGGCTGTTTTTCAAGGGTTGGGCTAGGTCCCTTCCAGTGAAGAAAAATCTTAATGCTTCAGCATACCAAGACATTTTGGACAATACCAACTTTGGGGAAGGCCCTTTTCTATTCCAGTGTGACTGTGCCCCCAGTGCACAAAACAAGGTCCATATAGACATGGTTGGAGGAGTTTGGTGTGGAAGAACTTGGCTGACCCTCACAGAGCTCTGACTTAAATACTTTTGAACACCTTTGGGATGAACTGGAACGGAGAGGTCGAGCCAGGCCTGCTCGTCTGCCTGACCTCAAATGCTCTACTGGAAGAATGGTCAAAAAAAATCCCTCAAACACTTGTGGAAATCCTTCACGGAAAAGTGGAAGCTGTTATAACTGCAGGGGGCGGGAGGACCAACTATCTATTAAGGTCTATGTATTGAGAATTTGAGGTCATAAAAGTCACTGTTGGTGTAATGGTCAGGTGTCCCAAAACTTTTGTCCATATAGTGTGTGTATGTATACACATCTACATACACGCTACGCTTTATTAACCTGTACTACTGGTTAAATAAAAATCTAGTTCCCAGAACATTAATGCTTTTTCAAATGTATGTTTAGTGTGAAATGGTAAGTGATGTAGTATGTTTATGATTTTGTAGCCCTCCTGCCTTAAACGTTTAGCAGGTCAAGCTGTACCTTTTTTTTTAAATATTCATTTTTAATCATGTGTGCCTGCATAGTGCTACCTAAGTGGAGACAGGTGAAGGGAACTCAACTTAACCTGAAGTTCGCTTACTCGGGACCACCATCTTTATAGTTTTGAGACGTTTGGAATCTTTTTCTATTGGACATCACAAGTGCAAAAAAAGCAATGTTTCATAAGCAGAAGCTCATATTAAATTACCTGCTGTGTATATACATTTTTAAAACAAGCATACCCTTAGTCTTGTGCAAATTTTGACATTACAAGCCTAGTCCTATCCTATATAGCCAGCCCTAGGGTATTCATTTTCACATTTCTATAATACCCAACTAAAATAATTATGACAATTCTGCAGTATATGTATACATTTTTAAAATCATATGCATCTATGGCTTCACAGCAAATTGGCATGCTGTGTGAAACATTTTTCACTTGGTTTATATTTGAGTGGTTCGTCTTGTTCTAGAAGAGGATGCCCAATAAAAGACTGTATAAATCAAGTGTGTTTGCAGGGAAAGCTTCATATTGCCAGATGTATGCTATAACACTTTGAACACTAAATTGTGATGTTTGGAGAACAGACTTGTAAAATTTAGCTTGAATTGTAATCTCAATTTCAGCATACAAGGACATCCCCTCCCCCACCTCTCAAAAAATGGTCTCATGTCCTCAGAGTATTGTTTAGACCCCTTTGTGATGATGCAAAGTGGGCATTGCCCAATGCCCCTCCAGGAAGGAATTATGCAGTTATGTATCTGCAGAAAAACCAAAGCAAAACACTGAGCTGTTCTATATTAAATGAATGTGACCCATTTATGAAAATTGCTTATGTAAAATAAAAAAAATGCTGCTGGAGATTTGGGTAACTAATTTTTCTTTTAGAACAGTACAGCCCCCCAAAAATCTCTATTGTGTTCTTCCCTATAAATGGTGTGTTTGGCAAGTGCCAATTTACAACCCCTTAGATAATTTTGAAAAAAGGAAATTAAAATCAAAATGCCTCAAAGTGTTGCTCTCATGCTACAGCGGGTGGAAGCACAAAATTATACTGATGTTTGCTTTCCTTTCTTGAATAAACAGTTCTACAGATTCTTCATCCAGCAGTTCTAGGGAAAAGAATATAAAGAGCACTTGCTCTTCACTTATCTCCAGCAGTGAGGGGTTTTATCTCTCATCACTACCTCCACTCCCTTCCTGACTGCCACTTTGTTATTTTTGCACATATTTCTCTGTTGGCAAGTACAGAGTTTTGGACTTGTCAAGCCTGGCAATAAAATAACACTGCATTTCAATCATGTAAGCTTTTGTTTTGGGTCTCTTGTCTCTTACAATGGAGGGTTACCTGATGGAGCCCAGTTCTGAGCGTTTGATCCAGCCTTTCTTACAATGTGTCTTTCATTACCCTGTCTGTAAATGCTGCACTCCTCATAAGAGTTGTGAACCAACCTTTAAATCCTGTAAAGGGAAGGATCTTAAAGTAACAGACCTCATTCTCACCTGTTGAGGAAATGCCAAACGAATTGTACTATCCACATAAAAGATAATTTATTTTTTCTTGGCATTATTTGAGTAAACCTGGCAGGTGATTAACATGCACAACATTGTAAACATAAAATGGAGTTTAGTGCTTCCAACCCCTTTTGTAGTGTCACTAGTGGCTGTGTACTCTTGGCTCCCCCTTCCTTCACCTGTTGCTGTTTAGATGCTTTTATGACTTCTTATAGCTTTGTTAGTCTAGTAGAAATGGTACTTCAATGTCTGCTGTGTGGTTTGTGCACCTGCTTTTTCTCCTTTGCCTCTTCCAATACGCAAGGAAATAAAGCCTTATTTATAACCATTCTACTTCAGCTGTTGATAGTGAACCAGTGTTTATAAAGGAGTATATATGGGGCATTTATGTATTTCTGTAATGCTGCTTTTATGGTCATAGCCAATATTTGTATGTTATCAAAAACAAAAACCCTGACACCTAATCAAGAAATATAATTTGGAGCAGTGGTTCTAAAATCAAATACCTGGCCAAGTTAATGTGTTCAGTAGAAAACAATTGTGCACTCCTTAAATCTCTGCTCAGTGATTGTATTGCAAGTTTCTACTTTTCGAGGGTTTATTTATTTAGTCCAATTTCCCTTAGTTGTGTCTTAATTTTAATTGAATATATTTGCTTTTTAATTATTTTTTTTTCTTTGTTTTGTAAACATTTACTTAATTCTAGCCCTGTAATGTTTAAACCCAGACACCTGAATTGTGCCATATAACAACTCAGGGATATTTCATGGCAGATCGTATAAGTTGCAGAGTCCTAAAAAAGATTTTCTAATTAGATACGTGATAATTTAAAAGTTTACCCGATTGTAAAGTAAGAGCAGTTTTCCTAATGGGGAAAAATAACCATGAAATGAAAGGGCTTTGGTTGTATCAATTTAGTTTTCATTCTGGCCAACCTCTTTTAATTAATTTTTTTTTTTTTTTTTAATAAACTACTATAGGAATAGTTGTACACAGCCCTCCTCTTAAAAGGGGTAACTTTTCTCTTATCCATTAATAAATTTTATAGGTAATGTCTAAAAATGTAAACCTATTCAAATATACTCTTGTATGAAATTTCTGCAAAATTATATCCTTGGCATCTTCTGTGATGAGCACTCATCAACCATCTTCTCAAGACACACCTAACAGTCCAGGGTTTAAGGATTACCTGGATTTCTGTGGTGGTTAGAAAAAAAACCTTAGACACACCCGGGTAATCCTTAAATCCCTGGACTGTTGCGTATGCCTTGAAGAGCGCTTCTTAAACAGCCAATCATGTCCACTTATCTATAGTACTGCTGCTCATAACCTTTTAAGCCATGTTTATTGGGTAGGCACAAGAAGGGCTCTCTGACTTAGTTCATTTGGGATTTCTACTATAGAAAGGCAAGACAAAATATAACTCCAAGAAGCTGGAGTTATGACCTCATGTACAGCTGTATTATTGAAGCAAAAAAGAGAAACCCTGCGGTGTATAAAGGAAGCAAGCAGAAGAGCTTTTAAAAAAAAAAATAAAAAAAAAAATTGGGGTTTTTTAAGCTATATATGCTCCAAGACCGCAGTTTATCATATTGCCCTTGCAGCATGCAGGTCATAAAAAGACAGTAAAAGTATTTCACCATCTGTTTCAGAATAACAAAAGCAATAGATTGCAAAACGTAATGCAGGTTCCTGTTACATTTAATGTCTGTCTGCCATATACTGTTAAAACCTCACCTGCCTCCAAGGTACGTGGCCCAATATAAACTGCTTTGCATTTTAACCTGGCAATAGCATGGTACCATTTATAATGTATTATTCATAGACAGTTTGGTACTTCTATAGAAAACGCCTGCTCTACTACTTAATCCTCTAAATTGTCCCCCACCCATCATACACGCAGCAATTAAATGTAGTATCTGAAATAAGAGAACTTGAAACCAATTCATAGGGAAGAGAAATGGGCAGCTACAGGTTATATAACGCGTAAGTGTAAACTCCTTAGGTTTTTTTTTTTTTTGGTCAGTTGGTTATAGGGGAGGGGAAGCACCAGTTAATTGCTTAAACACTGTTTTAAAGTCGGATAAATGGGCATTTAAATAAATATTCACTTGAGTTACGCACGCATAGTAGCCTCATCCAAGGGGTCAATTGTGTAGGAACACATTGGATAATGCCATTTCTTTACACAACATCTAGACCTCTTGACCCTTTACATTTGTATGTCCGTGAAAGTTGTCATGCTATTAGTGGTTGTGAACATGAACAGTGCCGGTGTTGGTGTTCTCAGTTTGTAAGTAAGGGGAGTGCAGTTTTCCAAGATAAGTCATATTTCACTTTTATGGCAGAACAAAAAACTGCTGCTGAATACAGCAATTGTTAAAGCTTTGTTTTTATGTTCTTGGTCTTGCAAATAGGAGTCAAATTAGTGAGATGTTGCCCAATTTCCTTAACCTGTAGAATCTCCGCAATGTTTAGCCTTTAATTGCATGTCTAGCTCTATCCTCCCAGCTTACACCGGTTAACATACTGTGAAACTGCTTCTCTGTTCTTTGGAAGATTTTAATCCTAATAATTTCTAGATCTACTCTTCTCCAGAACTGGAAATCTACTTCACAGTACAATGTGTAGGTACGTAGAAATGGAATCTGACATAGTACTGTCAAAAAATTAAATAATTTTTCATGCATATAAAAGGATGGATGTACCAAGTTTCAGCACTTATAGAGCTGATTGAAATAACTGTTAAAAAGATTTTCAACTAATTTTTGAAAATCCTTGGCAAGGTATGTCAGTGTATTATTCTTCTCAGACAGGTTTTTTTTTTTTTGAGAATTCTTTCCTTTTTGATCTATAGTGTAAGTGTTAAGATGACTGTTTTGTGTTGTATTTCTCTGTCTGCAGAATCAAAGATTATAACCATTGAGTGCCACTCAAAGGATTTAGATGATAATGGTTTAGGGACTAAAATGCACTAGCCTGAAGTACCCCTCATTGTGAGTCTCTCAAATGCGTTTTCTACTATAAAAATGTTTGGTGTGTGATGGACCCCTTTCGCATTATTTATTCCACCTTGCCACAGGACAAATTATATATTTTTGTTTTAATGTACAGTAGTAGTTGTAGTAATCTTAAAAGCTGTCAATGTTGACTTGAGAACATCCCGCCTTTCCCAGAACACATACATTGACACATATTGCCAGACAACACCTTTTTGCCTTTTAACCCACAAACAGGAATAACTTGGACCTGGGGATGCAAATTTTTTATTTTTTATTTTGGGGACACAGTCTTATGAAGTGATTATTAACACCTTTCTGCCAGACTGAATACTGTTTCTATTGGCGTGGAAGGGTTTTAATCATGTACTGAGTCTGTTTTTTGTTTTTTTTCTTCATTGGTCCCCATTATTCCAGTTAGTTGGTGGTTACAATTATAGATCTCAAGGACCACTACTAGTTTTCAGTCTACCAAATGTTTGTTTTTGAGCACTTAACAGAAATTGTAAAGTAAGTACTAGCAATGATTCATTCTTCAAGGTCCATTAAATCAGTTGTTTATAACTGGATAATGGCTTTGCTTTTTGTTTAATTTATTTTTTTTGCCACATGCTGATTGGGTTACCAGATGTACCAGAAAGAGGCTGTCAATGTAAACTGGTTAAAACCATGTGGCCTCCCTTGCTGTGGTTGTGCCTTTCCAAAAGCAAATGTCTTCTTTAAAAAAGTGTTTTTCGAGGGGAGTGGGTGGGAGATGTGCAAGATGGGAGGAACATAGGTGAATGTGTGAACAAATCTCCATCTATTTGTTGACAGAGTAGTAAATTGGGATTTACAATACAGGAAAATACATTCAAAACATGATCACTTTTCTACAAAGTTCCCTGCAACCCAAGTCCTGCTGCTCATATTGTGGCTTTGAATCAATTCTGTTTATTAAAAAGCTTTAGCTTCTAATATGTGTCGCTTGTTTTTTTTTTTTTTTTGTTTCTTAATATGTGGATGCCTTGTTGAGTGCATGGTTGGTATTACAATTTTCTATATAGATTTGTACTAACACCAAATAGACTGTAAACGGAATGTAATACTCTGTGTAAAGCACATTATTACAAATTGTAAGGTATGCTATTGGGCTGATATGCCAAACTGCCTAGTGAAATACCCCAGATCTGCTTTAAATGTGCACTATAATGATCCTCTAGCCTGGTGGGTACAAAGACAAGTTTAAATTTGGGTCCTAAGCTATTCACAAAATGATTGCTTTTTAGTATGCGCATACATCTACCTTGTTGAATCCAATCAATTGGACAATTCTGTAACCTAGATGATTGGTTGAATCCATAGGTACATGCAGTATAAAACTGGGCCCAAAGAAAATAAGCATATTTTAACAGTTATTAAAATTTGATGTAATACAGTGGCTCCCAACCTTTTTCACTTGAGTACCCTTTGGCAGCCCATTTTCATCTTTCTCTTTATTGAAATTGAACATTGCATTTTGGTATCTTATAGAGCCCCTTATCAGTAGGTCTTAAATCTTAATTCCTGTGTATCTTTGTCAGTACTTCTGGAACAGGCAAACAGCACCTAACATCTGTCTCTATTTCTTCAAGCAAATTATACATGCCACCTGCACCTCTCTAATAGTAGTCTTTGAGTGTAAAACACCAGTCAGTTTATAGTCTAGTAACAAAACTCCTACTGCCGTTTACTACACCCTCATAAAGTATGTATATGAGCGCTTAGTTTAGGACAAGATTAAAATTGTGCAAAACTTATTTAATAAAAGTGGTAATTGCAAAGTTATTGTTTATGTATGTATGCCTTAACTCTGGGAAAGACTTGGTAATCCACATGGTATATATCTAATGATTCTGAAATGTATTGGGACTTGCATGGGGCCCAAAATCAGATTTTGTGCAAGTCACCATCTTCCTTGCCAGAGACCCCCCCTGGGTTGAAGTTTTACTTTGAAAACCAGAGTGATTAGGTCTTCGGTTATTTTATCCTTTTTGTTTTTCATCTGTTGGTGTAAATAGTAGAAAATAGTTTCCATACTTACCATTATTTTTTTTTTACCTGGCTATTATACATGGCAGCATCACATATGGGTAAGCTCCTCCTCCCAGCTGTCAGGACAGGAATAATTAAACAATTCAGTAAAAGCCCTCTCCCCTCTAGACCCCTCAGTCTTGGTAAAGGGACACTCCAGTGCCAGTTCAGTTTTCCTGGCACTGCAGATCACCTCCCATCCCCAGTTGCTGAAGGGGTGAAAACCCCTTCAGTCACTTACCTTAGACCCCCGCTGATGTCCCTCGGCAGTGGTTTCGGGTCGCCGCTGCTCCTCCCCTTCCTTACATCAGCCGGTGGGCGAGACTGATCTCCCCCGCCGGGGAGACCTAATGCGTATGCGCGCCAATGATGCGCATTAGAGCTCTCCATAGGAAAGCACTGAAAATTATTTTCAAAGCTTTCCCATGGGGATTTGAGCAACGCTGGGGCACAGAAAACCTGTGCTATAGACATGGAAGTGCCCTCTAGTGGCTGTTCAGTAGACAGCCACTAGAGGAGGAGTTAACCCTGCAAGGTAATTATTGCAGTTTATAAAAAAAATAATCAATAATTACACTTTCAGGGTTAAGGGTAGTGGGAGTTGGCACCCAGACCACTCCAATGGGCAGAAGTGGTATGGGTGCCTGGAGTGTCCCTTTAAATGGCCCTAGTTGAAGAATCCAGAAGGGAGAGAGCGTGATGCTGACATGTATAATAGCCAGAAAAAGAAAATAACTGCAAGTATGGAAAAAAAATTCTACTTTCCTGGCCGTACATGGCAGCATCACATATGGGTATTACCCAAGCTCTGAAGAAGGGTGGGGTCTTAACAAATGGTAGTGAATACAGTCGCTTTATTGAGGCTGAAAATTTTCAAAATATTTATTCGTCATTTCCTGCTACCGAAGCAAGAACACTCTTCCCAAAGCGAGCCTCGTTTGAGGATGACAAATCTAGTTTGTAGTGATTTGACAAATGTTATCGGAGAGGACCATGTAGCTGCCTTACAGATGTCCTCAATCGGCACCTCCGCTCTTGAAGCCAATGAAGTAGCCAGCTTTCTTGTTGAGTGTGGTTTGATGACGCACGCCGCCTGATGGCCTTGGGAAGTGTAAGCCCTTTTAATGACTAGAGAAAGCAATCTTCTCAATGTTGTAGTGGATGCTGCTTCACCTTTTTTACTGCCTGAGGGTGAAATAAAAAGCTTGTCAGATTTTCTGAAGTTCTTTGATCTCAGTAAGTAGACCTTTAGGCATCTCATCACATCCATTTTGCTCCATCCTACTACTTTGTTAGTCGGATTCGGAAAGAATGAAGGTAGAACAATTTCTTGCTGAATGTGGAATTTAGAAACTTTCGGAAGGAAGTCAAGTTTAGTAACCATCACCACCCTATCCTGATGGAACACAGAATAAGGTTCTTAAGCCCAATGCTTGGATCTCTGATACTCTTCTGGCCCATGTAATGGCTATTAGGAATAGAGTTTTCATGGTGAGCAAGTAAATTCCTATTTCTTCTAGTGGCTCAAATGGAACCTTAATGAGAGCCTTAAGTACTAGGGGTAAGTCCCAAGGAGGCGCCAACTGTTTTGTAGGTGGTCTAATCCTCAAAACTGCTCTAAAAAATCTCATTATGAGAGGATCCAGAGCCCATCTAGAATTTAAGGGTGAAATCGCCGAAACATGGACTTTCAAAGTGCTCAGACCAAGTCCTTTATCCAGACCCTCTTGAAGGAAGTTCAGGATGTCTGCCACGCTAGGAGCATCACAAGGTATTCCCTTATCCACCATCCAGAAACAAAACTTTTCCCATATTTTATAATAGGAGGCTGACTTAGAGCATTTCCTGGATCTAGAATTTAAGAGACAGATTCTGACAGGCCCGATTTCAAGAAGTTGTTTTTCCTCAAGAACCATGCCGCTAACTGAAGTGACTGGGGTTCTGGATGCACCACTGGACCCTGAACGAGCAAATCCCCTCCCACTGGAAGTATTATTGGGAAGTATTATAACAGGAGCGGAAACAAAGGTCTCCTCTGCCATGATGGGATGATTGCGATCACGTGCAATTTTCCTTGCAAATTTTCCTCAATACTTTGATTAGTGGTATTGGTGGAAAAATGTAAGCCAGTTCGAACTCCCACTTTTGGGATAGGGCATCCTGGGCTTCGGCTTGGTTGTCTTTCCATCTTGTGTAGAATCTTGTTTGCGAGTTGCCATAAAGTCTATTTGCAGTGTCCCCCATGTCCTTACTACCTGAAGGAAGACTTCCCGGTTTGGAGACCATTCCCCTGATTCCATACTTGCTCTGCTCAGGAAATCTGCTTAGGTATTTTCTGTTCCCGTTAAGTATACCGCTTTCAGGTGAATCATGGCCCAATGCATAATCGGTTGTAGTTGTAAAAGCAGCTGATGGCTCTTCGTGCCTCCTTGATGGTTCAGGTAGGCAGCAACCACCCTGTTGTCTGTTCTTACCAGCAGCCTCTTCCCCTTCGTGCTTTGAAGACTGCCCTCATCTCCAGGATGTTGGAGTGAAGACTGGTCTGGTTGTTCCATACTCCTTGCGCAACAAGGTTCTTGTAGTGAGCTCCCCATCCTCTTGTACTTGCATCTGTAGTACTAACTTCCCGTTGGGGATCTTCCAGGGGAAACCCTTGGTCAAGTTAGATCCTTCTGTCCACCACCTTAGGTGAAGCTTCAGATCTTGAGGAAGTATAATCCATTGGTCCCAGTTCATTGCTGACTTGTTGATCTGTGTGAGGAAATTCATCTGAGCCTGTCTCGTCTTCCAATATGCCCATCTGACCAGGCCTATGGTCGACGTGAGGGATCCCAGGACACTCATATAATCTTTTGCTCAAAGTCTTGTCCTTGGAAATATTCCTAAAATCTTGCTCTTGATCCGAGCAATGCGATCTTGGGATAGAGAGAGAGTTGAAACTTCTGTGTCTATCTTTGCTCCCAGGAACACAGTGTCTGGATGGAATGAGATTGCTTTTTTTTTGTGTGAGCCACCCAAGTGTTAACTCACCTCTTCTGTCTGCTGTGTGGTATTCCTGTGCTACTACCAGGATATCGTCCAAGTAGTGGAATACTTGGATTCCTCTCTTCCTTAGGATTGCAATAACTCTTATAAGAACCTTCGAAAATGTTCTTGGTGCCAAACTTAGACCAAATGGCATGCCCTAGAACTGACAGTGCTTCCCCGACAACCAGAACCTCAGGAACTTCTGATGAGAAGGATGTATTGGGATCTGGTAGTATGCATCTTTCAGATCTATCGATGTTAGCCAGTCGCCCTGATGTATACTCATGTTTTATGGATGTGATAGAATCCATCTTGAAAGACCTGTTCTTGAGGTATAGATTTATTCTCTTCAGGTCTAGAATAAGTTTCCATTTTCCGTTTGGTTTGGGAGCCAAAAATACATTTGAAGAGAATCCTCTGCATTCTTCCATTCGCGGGACTTGCTTGATGACACCTTGAGTGATCAACTGCTGAAAGCAGTTCTCCATTGCCTTCCGTTTTACGCCTGCTGACACCCTTGATTGATGAAACATGATTTTTTTTTTTTTTTAAATTCTTCGAAATTCGAGTTTGTATCAGTCTTTGATTATGCTCAGGACCCACTTATCTTTGGATGTTGCCCATACCGGAAAGAAGTGTTTTAGACTGCCCCCCACTGTTCCAGTCTGGACGTCCTGACCTTCATAATTGTGTTCTGGCTGGTACCTCTCCCTCTAGATCCTCTATTGGAGTGAGAGAATCTACCATATTCTCTTCCTGGCTTGTATGACCGATCATCGTGAAAATACCTCTTTTTGTTGAACTTGTCCTTATAGGGTGCGCTGTAGGGTCTTCTATGTGACTGTGGTAGAAACGCTTTCTTCCCATCCGCGGCGTTTTGAATGGCATCATCCAGGACTTTACCAAATCTTTCTCCTTGGAAAGGCAATGCACAAAGGCTGGCTTTGGTGGCGTAGTCT